CTCTAAACAAGTCTGTAAAAATTCAAGAAAAAAAAAAGTCCAAAAACTCCCCTCTTCCTAATACAACTGACTGCCGCTTCTTTAACAATTAGTGTTATCACCGTTCCATTCTTCTTCTTCTAGATAACAACTATTGAGATTCCCAATGATAAAATTACATTCAGCTGCGGATAGCATCCAATAGAGAGCAAATCTCAACTTCCTTGAACATAACCCAAATCAAGTAATACAAGCAGAAGTCATGGGTGCCTGGGTGGCTCAGTTGGTTGAGCGGCTACCTTCGTCTCGGGTCGTGGTCCTGGAGTCCCGGGATCAAGTCCCGCATCGGGCTCCCTGCTCAGCGGGGGGTCTGCTTCTCCCTCTGACCCTCTTCCCGCTCGTGCTCTCTGTCTCTCATTCTCTCTCTCTCAAATAAATAAATAAAATCTTAAAAAAAAAAAAAAGTCATATAAGTCTTTTTGAGCACTGTTTTAACCCACAGTCATTAATGGTGCATTCCTAGAACTCAGTACACCCAACACCTTTTACTATAGGTGTGATCCTGGTGGTCTTTCTCTAGAGGGCAATGACAAAACCATTAATTTTTCACTGTTATTAATAAGAAGTTATCTTAATGACAAAAAGTTGAAGTATATAAAAATAAAATTTATTTGAAAGAAGAGTGCCTAAACATTTATGCACTGGTAATACTGACTAAAAATTTATAATGCTTAATTTGACAAAATTACAAAAATCATAAACAAAAATGTTAGCAAACTAAATCCAGCACCACCTTAAAAAGATTATATACCATTACCAAGTGGGATTTACCCTAGGAATGCAGGATTGACTTAACATTAAAAATTAATATAATACACCATATCAACATCATAAAGGTTAAAAAAACCACATGATGATTTCAACAGACATGGAAAAGCACCTTTGATGAAGTCTAATACCCCTTTATGATAAAAGCACTCAGTAAACTAATAAACTCAGTAATCTAAGACTAGAAGGGAACTTCCTCAACCTGATACAAAAAAAATCCCAAACTAACATCATATCTAATACTGAAAGACTGAATGATTTTCCCCCAGCATCAGAAACAAGACAAATATGTCTGCTTTTGCCACTTGTATTCACCATTGTAATGAAGTAAGTTCTAGCCACAGAAGACAGGCAAGAAAATAAAAGGCATCCAGATTAGAAAGGAAGAATTAAAACTATGTCTATTTGCAGATAGCATGATCTTGTGCATAGAATATCTTGTACACTAAAATAACTGGAACTGATAAACAACTTCAGCAAGGTTTCAGGATACAAGATCAAAAGGCAAAAATTAATTGTACTTCTATACCTTCCTAAATCTGGTAAATCAATGAAAAAGAATACAGGGTCCAGAAATAAACACTTATTTAAAGCCAACTAATTTTTTACAAAAGTGTCAAACTAATTCAATAAAGAAAGTGTAGTGTTTTCAACAAATGGTGTTGGATCAGATATCCATATATAAAAACAAAACAAAAACTCTTATTCCCTTGCCTCACTGTTCATAAAAAATTAACGCAAAATTTATAATAGACTTAAATGCAAGATAGAAACAATAAAACTTCTAGATGAAACAAAAGGAAGAATTTCTTTGTGACCTCATTTAGACAAAGTTTTTTTAACAGATGACACCAAAAGCAAGATTGAACAAAATAAGTTGGAATTTATTCAAATTAAAACTACTTTCCTAAAGACCCCATAAGAATAATAAAAAGACAAGCCACAGACAAGAAAATATTCTCAAATCATATAGCTGATAAAACACTTGTGTCCAGAATACATGAAGAATTTTGGCAAAGCAATGAGAAACAGCCCAATAAAAATGAACTTATTTAGAAATTGGGTCTTTACAAGTTAAGAAGTCATTAGAGTGGGTCCTAACTCAACATGAATTGTGTCCTTATACAGTGAGGATAATATCATATGAAAAGAAAGACACCCAGGGAGAATGCCATGTAATGATGGAGGCAGAAGTTGGAGTGATGCAGCTCAAGGCAGGAAATGCCTAAGATTGAGGGTTTCTACCAGAGGCTAGGAAGGGACAAAGAACAATCCTACACAGAGTCTCAGAAGAAGCATGGCCCTGCTGACACAATGATTTCAGGCATCTAGCCTCCAAAACTGTGAGAATACGTTTAAGCCACCTAGTTCCATGGTCTGCCCTACATTCTGGAAATACATGCCTTCTTTTTCAAGTAACCCTTCACAAGAGTTTTAAATGCTCCAGGTAATGGTCATCAAGGCTCGCTTACATCATAAAAAAATAAATCACTTCCTTTTTGAGATTTTGAGGCTGATCCAGGCAAAGGGCATGAGCAAGAGAGCAGTAGCACATATGAGCTTTACTTGGGCAATACTCCGAAAGTTTTGCCTCTAGGGAAAGTCCCTCATAGCATGAGGCCATCCAGAGGCAATGGCAAAGGGGCTACTACTCAGAAGGGGAGGCATGCAAGAAAACTCCCAGGGAAGAGGGGAATCAAGAAACTTATTATATGTTTGGGTGATGTTGCTCTGTAGCCCAGATGGAAGTCTTTGGATCAGAGAGATCCAAAGGGCAGCAGCAGCCTGGATCTTTTATAACTACAGGGATTACCCCATTTATGGCCAGCAGCTGTTGGGCACAGTTTTGTGGGGTATGAAAAGTAAGCAGGCTCTAAATAGCTAAAAGCCTACTTATTTGAGCAATGTTTAAAACAACTGGATATGTAAAAATTTGAGTTTGGCACAGGTGGGCTCTTGAGCTACTAGTTCACAATGAAGAAATAAACCACATAGGGCCAATATACAGCGATCATCTTTGTCTCATGTATACAACACCGCCAGATTCTATGTACCTCCTGTTGGAAATACTCAATATCTAAATTATTCTCCTCAAAATATCAGACCTGAATATGGTCACACCTGTAGGGTGAACTTGCAATTATCTGCAAATATAAGGAACAGAAGATGTTGAAGATCAACATGGAGATGCAATTAGAAGACCCACTGTATGAAAATTTCTACATGATTTATTATATTCAAAAATTCCATTACAAAGAAAAATATATGCTAGGGGAACTGCAGATATAAAGGAGATAGTAAATTGAAATGTATGGGTCTTATTGGATCCCAATGCAAACAATCCAACAGCAGAAGTTTTGGGGTTTTTTAAAAAGATTTATTTATTTATTTATTTGACAGAGAGAGAGAGAGAGCACAAGCAGGCAGAGTAGCAGGTAGAGGGAGAGGGAGAAGCAGGCTCCCTGCTGAGCAAGGATCCTGATGCGGGGCTTGATCCCAGGACCCTGGGATCATGACCTGAGCCGAAGGCAGATGCTTAACTGACTGAGCCACCCAGGCGCCCCAAAAGTTTTAAAATTATGTAGACAATTAGGGAAATTGACCACTGCCTATTTATTTGAATATATTAAGGGATTCATTCAAAAATATTTAAGGATGGGGGCGCCTGGGTGGTTCAGTTGGTTAAGCGACTGCCTTCGGCTCGGGTCATGATCCTGGAGTCTCTGGATCGAGTCCCGCATCGGGCTACCTGCTCGGCAGGGAGCCTGCTTCTCCCTCTGACCCTCCCCCCTCTCATGTGCTCGCTCTCTCTCATTCTCTCTGTCTCAAATAAATAAATAAAATCTTAAAAAAATATATTTAAGGATGATCAAAAACTAATGATGTAATGTATGGTGATTAACATAATAAAAAATATTTAAGAATGAAATGATATACTGAGAACTGCTTCAAAATTATCCAGAGGAAACTGGGTGTTGTAAAAAAAACTGATGGAAAATTATTGAAGGCAGGTAACAGGTATATCAGATTTTGTTAAACTATTCTCTCTACTTTTACAGAGTTTGGATTTAACAAAATAAAATATTAAAAATAAATGATGGAGGCACCTCGGTGGCACAGTTGGTTAAGTGCCTGACTCTTGGTTTTAGCTCAAGTCATGGTCTCAGGGTGGTAAGATCAAGCCTGCATCGGGCTCCACACTCAACAGAGTCTGCTTGAGAGTTTCTCTCCCTCTGCTCCTCCTGCTCATGCTCTTTCTTAATAAATCTTTTTTTTAAAGTAAATAAAATAAAAATAAATGATGAAAAACTACTTACAAAAGGAAGTTTTGGTATTGTCTCTATAATTATGCTGTCTAATGCAATCTCTTTCCTAAAAGGATATTCAGATGGTGTGGTAGATTTTTCAATCCCCTGTGAAACAATCTAGCCATGTCCTCATGGTACTGAAACTGCAATTTTTCCTCCTTCAGTTGAACCATGTCACTTGCTTAAGTCAATGCTATGATCAACAAATGTTATGGGAGAAACCCTGAAATACATTTGTGCATTTGGCTTTCCTCTATTCCTCTAGTAGCTCATCATTAAGAAACTTCCCTGAGCTGGTGGCTATCCATTTAGTTTCAGTCCCAGAATGGACACTTGGATCAGAGCCAGTTCAGCTTCCTGAAAACCCACCACTTGTCACAACCCACACAAGCCAGACCTATGAACATGAAAATAAGTGCTTATTGCAGCATGTCATAAGCAAAATCTGACTAGTTATTTACACAGTTACAATAAATTACAAAATTTGCACGATTAACAAGATGTTGGACAACATATGCCATTTATTAAATAGAAATGGAAGGTCAGAGAAGGAAAAGAATTTATACAACTGACAAAGGATCAAGAAAGTCTTCAGGGCGCCTGGGTGGCTCAGTGGGTAAGCATCTGCCTTTGGCTCAGGTCATGATCCCAGGGTCCTGGGATTGAACCCTGGGCACTGGGCTCCCTGCTCAGCAGGGAGCCTACTTCTCCTTCTCCCTTTGCCCCTCCCCATGCACATGCTCTCTCTAATAAATAAATAAAATCTTAAAAAGAAAAAAAACCCCACAAAACAGGAACCTGAAAAAGAAGTGTCAGAGACCTGATATGGCTGGGGTTATGATGTTCCAGCCCCCCACTTCCCCCATTCCCACCCACCCTCCCCTCCTGCTGCTTTAGGATTCTTGAGAAGCACATTCATCACTCCTTTGGCCTTTTGTCACTGCTTTCCAAATGGAAGCTCAGGGAGGGCAGCGAAGGTGTCGATCTTGTAGATTGGCAGCCACCCTGTCCCGCACTGCAGTCCTCCCAGCAGCCCTTCCATATGCTGGTTTCATGTGTCCCCACACCCTGCTCCATCCACATTGGGTGGCCCCAACAACCTCCCAAAGACACTGACAGTGGGTGCCTTGGGGGTCTCAGGAGCTCGTCCCACACATCTCCCAGCCATAGAGGCACCCCTGCAGAATCGAGGGGGTACCACACTCCGAAGCCTGAGTGGTGAGGACTCCACCTCCCTCTTCTCATGGGCAGCGTTTTCCGCGTGTCCGCCCCACCCACATGCGCCTGCGTACTTCTGTACTTCCCCATAGGCGGCAATCCCAGGTGTCTCTGAGGCGCAGTTCTCAATGTGGTGCGCTGCATGCTGGGAGGAGTCTGAAGGGTGGGGCTCTGGGCATCTGCGGAGTCTCTTCCGGAGATCTCCATTTCCCACAAGCAACCGGGACTGAGACCCTGCAGAGCCCGGGTGCAGGCATTAGGAGAAATGCGCATGTGCTTTGGAGAGGTGGCGCTGGGGTCCGAGATGGGTGGTGGGGAGGCGGGAACTGAGGTGAGGAGTTGCAGTGCTCTCAGTGCCCATGCAGCCTAAATCCTCAGGCCAGAAGATTCCAGAACACTGGGCGGGTGAGTGAGGGGCAGCAGGTGTGAGTGAGCATGCACCTACCTGGGGGCCTTGACAAAAACGTCTGTCTGTGACTCCATTTACTGAAAGTAAACGCAACTGACTTGGGGAGCGCTGAGCAGATGCTCCTGCGGGAGTGGGGGCTGCCGTGGCTGTGGGGCACTTGTCCTTGTGACATGGGTTCTGCTGGTCTCTCAGCCCGGTGGGGCTGCCATGACGTCCCAACAGAAGTGCGGAGGCCCAATGACACCCACCTGCAAGAAGACACAGGATGGGGCTTGATGAATCCTAGGGCTGGATGGCCTGCAGACAGGCCCTCAATAGACATGATAATGATGAAGCCAAGGACCAGGATGTCTCCAGGCAGGATTTCCTTGGGGAGACACCTTTCTGTTGCAGACCACAGCATTCTCAAAAATCTGACTGGAGGAATCTGGTATAAACACAGCTTCCAGGAGCACTTGCACTTCTCTCCACTTCTGAGGGTAAAATAAGGGCAGATGTGACCATTGTGGGTGTTTCCTAACTTCAGTCTGAGTTCCAAAAAAAAAGGTATCTTAGCCCAAGTCCTTACCCAGTCCTTCACTTCTTAAGAATGATTCCAAAATAGTTCGGGGGGAAGGAGGTGTGCAGATCAAGGCTCAGTGGTTTAAATTTTCTCTTAGCAAATAAAGTTTTTGTTGTTTTTTAAAATTATTTTTAATATACATGCAGTAAAACTATTTTAAGTGTAGTTCTTTTTTTTTAAGATTTTATTTATTTATTTGACAGACACAGCGAGAGAAGGAACACACAGGGGGACTGGGAGAGGGAGAAGCAGGCTTCCTGCAGAGCAGGGAGCCTGATGCAGGGCTCGATCCCAGGACCCTGAGATCACGACCCAAGCCGAAGGTAGATGCTTAATGACTGAGCCACCCAGGCACCCTTTAAGTGTAGTTCTGAGTTCTCATAAATTCAGTTATACCAACAGTCAAAATAAAGAATACACCATCACTCTCAAAACAAACAAACAAACAAAACATAGGACATAGGTACCCACTTATTCTCAAATCCCCCATTCCTAGCCAGTGATCTTAGCTCCCTATAGCTGTCTTTTCCATGTCTTATAAGAGGAATGCCTGTATAGCTTTAGGAGTTTTTTTTTTATAAAATTTATAAAATTTATAAAATTTATAAAAATTTATAAAATTTGATGCCATATTTCTAAAACTCAGCAATTACACCTGCCTTCCAGTGTTCTAAACTTGTGACAATTCCCAGCAAAGACTAAGCACAGATAACCTTTAAACCTGGCTTTCGATTTTTAAGACCTACATGAGTTTGGGCAACTCTGCGCTCCCTGTGTTTAACTGTCTTCATCTGTGTGAGAGGAGGGACTAATGGGGTGGGAGGGTAAAATGAGATACAAATGATTATCAAATCACATTAAACATTCCACTCTTCTCAAAGTAAGACTTTCACTATTTGCAGATGACATACTATATATAGAAAACCCAAAAGACTCCACCAAAGAACTGCGAGAAGTGATTTAAAAAAATTCAGTAAAGTTACAGGACTTAAAATCAATCTACAGAAATCTGTTGCATTTCATACACCATTAATGAAGAAGCAGAAAGAGAAATAAGAATACAATCCCATTTACAATTGCACCAGAAAATAACAAGTTACTGAGGAATAAACCTAATCAAAGAGGTGAAAGACCTGTACTCTGAAAACTATAAAATGCTGATGAAAGAAATTGAAGATGACAAAGAAATGGAAAGACCATGCTCATGGACTGGAATAATTGTTAAATGTCTGTATTACCCAAAGTAATCTACACATTTAATGCAATCCTTATCAAAATGCCACCAACATTTTACACAGAACTAGGACAAACAATCCTAAAATTTGTATGGAACTGCAAAAGACCCTGAATAGCGAAAGCAATCTTGAAAAAGAGAAGCAAAGCTGGAGGCATCACAATTCCAGACTTCAAGTTATATTACAAAGCTGTAGTAGTCAAAACAGTATGGTACTGGCACAAAGGACACATAGATCAATGGAACAAAATAGAAAGCCCAAAAATGGATTCATAGCTATATGGTCAACTAATCTTCGACAAAGCAGGAAAGAATATCCAATGAGAAAAAGATGGTCTCTTCAATAAATGGTATTGGGAAAACTGGACCACTTACTTTCACTGTATACATATAAATTCAAAATGGATTAAAGACCTAAATGTGAGACCTGAAACCATAAAAACCCTAGAAGAACACAGGCAGTAACCTCTTTGACATTCACCCTAGCAACATCTTTCTAGATATGTCTCTGGAGGCAAGGGAAACAAAAACAAACTATTGGGGCTACATCAAAATTAAAACCTTCTGCACAGTGAAGAAAACAATCAACAAAACTAAAAGGCAACCTAAGGAATGACAGAAGATATTTGTAAATGACATATCCCATAAAGAATTAGTATCTAAAATATATAAAGAACATATAAAACTCAACAGTCAAAAACAAATAATCCAACTTAAAAATGGGCAGAAAACATGAACAGACATTTCTCCAAAGAAGACATACAGATGGGCAACAGATATGAAAAGATGTTCATCACTTATCATTAGGGGAATGCAAATCAAAAACTACAATGAGATATCACTTCACACCTGTCAGAATGGCTAAAATCAAAAACACAAAGAACAACAGTGTTGGTGAGGATGTGGAGAAAAAGGAACACTCCTGCACTGGGGGTGGGAATGCAAACTGGGCAGCCACTGTGGAAAAGAGTATGGAGAGTCCTCAAAAAGTTAAAAACAGCATTACCTTATGAACCAGCAATCGCATTACTGGATATTTACCCGAAGAATACAAAAATACTAATTCAAAGGGATACAGGCACCCCTATGTTTATAGCAGCGTTATTTACAATAGCCAAGATACGGAAACAGCCTAAGTATCTACTGATTGATGAATGGAAAAAGAAGATAGGGTATGTATGTGTGTGTATGTATATATATATATACATACACACATGCACAATGGGTTATTCAGCCATAAAAAAGAATGAAATCTTGCCATTTGCAACAAGGATGGAGCTAGAGAGTATTATGCTAAGTGAAATAAGTTAGTCAGAGAAAGATAAATACCATAGGGTTTCACTCATAGGTGGAATTTAGGAAACAAAACTAGCAAAAGGGGAAAAAGAGAGAGAAATCAAGAAACACACTCTTAATTATGGAAAACTGCTGGTTACCAGAGGGGAAGGGATGGGGGGGATGAGTTAAATAGGTGATGGGATAAAGAAGTGCACTTGTGATGAGCACAGGGTGATATATGGAAGTGCTGAATCACCACACTGTACACCTGAAACTAACATAACACTGTATGTAAACTACCAGAATTAAAATAAAAACTTTTCAAATAATTCCCCTCTTCAGGAGGGATGGGGTATTGGGTGATGGGCATTAAGGAGGGCACTTGATGTAATGAGTACCAGGTGTTATATTCAACTGATGAATCACTAAATTCTACCCCTGAAACTAATAATACACTGTATGTTAACTAAATGGAATTTAAATTAAAAAAATTTTTTTTTAATTCCCCTCTTCTCAGGCTGCCTGGGTGGCTCAGTTGGTTGAATGTCCAACTCTTGGATTCGGCTCAGGTCATGATCTCGGGGGTTGTGGGATCAAGCCCCGCCTTGGGCTCTGCACTCAGCGTGGAGTCTGCTCGTTCCTCTCCCCCTATGCCAACCCGTACTCTCTCTCAAATAAATAAAATCTTTTTAAAAACCCCCTCTTCTCAATAATGACTGCAGCTTTACCAATTTGTTTTAGTTGGCTAAATTCAATTATTTCTGCTTTTTTTTTTTTTTAATTCATGAGAGTCAGAGAGAGAGAGAGAGAGAGAGAGGCAGAGGCAGAGGGAGAAGCAGGCTCCTCACCTAGCAGGGAGCCTGATGCGGGACTCGATCCCAGGACCCTGGGATCATGACCTGAGCCGAAGGCAGATGCTTAACCATCTGAGCCACCCAGGCGCCCTATTTCTGCCTTCTACAATCACCAAACACAAACCCAAATCTGAAAATACAGCCTTCCAAACACCCTCTGCCTGATATATCCCACTGTCCTTCACGTGTTCCCTCAAATTGCTTGAATTCATGGCACCCAATTTTCATTGACAAGTGTGTTCCCAGTGGTTTGTTTAGAAAGCTTTGACAAAATCCCAGTGGTTTGTTTAGAAAGCTTTGACAAAACAATTATTTGAGGTTTTATTAACAAGGATTACGAAATTCGTTTAATAACAAATGTGTATGTAACAATAAAAATAAAATTTACATGACAAAATACCTTAAGTTGTATGCACCTGGAAATACTGTCTTGGAATGTATAATGCTTAACAAAATCACAGTTGATTTGGAATCCATAATTGCAATGGAATATTTTAATCTATTCTCTCAGTACATGACAAAGAGAGTACCATTTGGTAGTGTTATGGGCTGAATTGTCCACCAAAATTTGTATGTTGAAGTCCTAGCCCCAGTACCTTAGAATGTGACCTTATTTAGAAATAGTGTTGTCACAGATATAATTAGAGGCGGAGATACTGGGATAGGGTGAGCCCTAACTTGCTATGTGTGGTCCTTATAAAAAGAATGCCACACGAAGAGATAAACACACATGCATGCAGAATGCAGTGGGAAGATTAGTTACATTGCCTCAAGCCAATGAACTACCAGAAGCTAGAAGAGGGCTGGAACAGATCCTTCCCTAGCACCTTCAGAGGAAGCAGGGGCTGGCCAATACTTTGATTTTGGACTTCTACCTTCAGAATTGTCAGACCAAAATTTCTGTTGCCTTAAGCCACTCAGTTGTGGTCCTTTGTTACAGCAATCCTTAGGAAAGTAATACAGTAAATATACAAGTGATGTGAAAACACAGTGAATAGTGTATTTCTAAGAAATATCTACAAAAGATTGTTCTCAAAGACAAAATATATACTGTTTTTAATGACACACATAAATGTAACAGTGAAGCCCATATCAAGTAACAACATTGAGCTCTCCCAAAATCTAATACATGAAGGTGCTTTCTGTCACACAGGACTGAATGAGCACACTTTAAAATGCAATAGGTCAACAAAGTCCCACGTGTTGTTTGGCTTTGTAGTAGCTTTTGTGGCAGAATCCGGATCACAGAGTCACTAGAAGTATTGAAAATAAGGTGTTCACTAGACAAATTAGACCTTATACACATATGTGAAAATCTAGAGAAGAGGGGAATCACAGCATCAAAGATCACTGAACGTGAGTCTGAATGAGTGGTCTAGAGAACACATCAGAGTTGGTAGGAATATCCAAATTGTGAGTGCAAGACCACACAAGTGGATCCTTGATACATAGCTCATGGAGATATTCATGGAAGCCTACAAAACTCTGAGGAAAATGGGAATCGAGCACGTGGCATTTTTTTTTTCATGATACCCTTGATTGGCAGGGCCAAGATCAGGAAAACGGGCTGATGTCCAAAAGCCCCTTTGCATCACTCACACTTTAACGTGTCCAAACACAGAAATGGCTTCTTCATTTCTGCCTTCCAAATCTCATGCGAAGTTAGGCTACTGGTAAATTTGACATGATCATAAAGGGATGGGAAATGTAGTTCCCAACATTACCCACATTGACAACACAATGTAGAGGAACCACCTCAAACTCTGTATCCTATAGCTCATGGTCACAAAGTAGCTTTTCAGTAAAAGCCTACTGTCCAATTTCCAGTCACAAGCAAGGACAAAGAGCAAAGGGAAAGGGTTGAAAATGACAATTCACACAAGACTATGCTTTTCAAGAACTCTGCACAATTACAAATGTCTGCAAACTATTTGTAAAGAAAATGCAGTAACGTTCCTCTGGCCAAAATAAATAGATTCTCAGTAAGGCAGAAAACATATAACGGGTAATATCCAGTATCTGCCACGCTAAGCTAGTAAGAAAATCCCAACAAATACCAAAATGCCATTGTTCCAAAAACCCCTTCAAGAATTCAAAGAAATTAAAACTTACCTACATATTAAAAATACACTTCAAATCACCATGAGTCCAACAAACCATAAAGGTAGCAGGTTTATTTATGGAAATGTAGGGAAAAAACACCACCTGCAAAATTTGAAATGACAGCTGAAAGAGTACTTGGAGCGCTATCTGTAACAGAACTGGAGATACACGCCCCAAAGGTCCACTTTGATGAGGTACTCACAAGGGCAGTACCATATTTACGGCTTTGATAAGATTTCTCTCCTGGTGTGGATTTTCTGATGCATGAGGCATGAATTCCTTTGCAGGAGAATTTCCCGCATCCCCCAAGCAGTGTCTCTCTGTGGTGTGTATTCGTACATGTCTTCTTAAGGACGAGGAACAACTAAAGGCTCTCCCACACTCCTTACAGTCATAAGGTTTCTCTCCAGTGTGCACTCGCATATGTATCGGCAAAGACGATGGCCATTTGAAGACTTTCCCACATTCCTTACACTCATAGGGTTTTTCTGCAGTGTGTGTTCTCACATGCTGTTGCAAAAGTTCAGGCCAACTGAAAGCCTTGCCACATTGCTTGCATTCGTAGAGTTTCTCTGCGGTGTGCCTTCTCATATGTTTTTGTAAGGATATGTGGCAATAGAATGCTTTCCCACATAGCTTGCATTGATACGATTTCTCTCCAGGATGCATTCTCACGTGTTCCCGAAAGCAAGCAGACAAATTGAAGGCTTTCCCACACTGTTTGCATTCATAGGGTTTCTCTCTCGTGTGTGTCCTCATATGTCTTCTTAAGGATATGGGCCAGTTGAAAGTTTTTCCACACTGATTGCATTCGTAAGGTTTCTCTCCAGTGTGCACTCTCATGTGTCCTCGAAAGGATGAGGGATGGCTGAATGCTTTCCCACACTGGCTACATTCGTAGGGTTTCTCTCCACCGTGAGTCCTCTCATGTCTTCGGAAGGACTGGGGATAAATGAAGGTTTTCCCACATTGTTTGCATTCATAGGGTTTCTCTCCAGTGTGAATCCTTTCGTGTCTCCGGAAGGACTGCAGGTAAATGAAGGTTTTCCCACACTGTTTACATTCATAGGGTTTCTCTCCAGTGTGTGTTATCATGTGCCTTCGAAAAGCTGAGGAATAACTAAAGGCTTCTCCACATTCCTTACATTTATGTGGTGTCTCCCCGGTGTGTGAGATCATGTGTCTTCGAAACGTTGAGGAATAGCTGAAGGCTTCCCCACATTCCTGACACTTATAGGGCTTCTCTCCAGTGTGTGTTATCATGTGCCTTCGAAAAGTTGAGGAATAGCTGAAGGCTTTCCCACATTCTTTACATTTATAGGGCTTCTCTCCAGTGTGAGTTCTCACATGACTAGTAAGACTTGAAAAATCAATGAAGGCTTTCCCACACTGCTGACATTCGTAAGTCTTCTCGGCAGTATGGATCCTTATATGCCGGTTGAGGGACGACGTACGAGGAAAGGTTTTTCCACATGATTTACACTCATAGGTTCTCTCTCCGTTGTGGGTCCTCACGTGCATTCGTAGGTGTGATCGACAACTATAGGCCCGCCCACACTCCTGACACTGATACGGCTTGTATCCAGTGTGCATGGCGACGTGACTCTTGAGGGAGGAATGAGGCACAAAGACTTTTCCATATGCACTACATCCATACTCTTTTACTCCAGTATGAGTTTTCTGGTACAGATTACGATTTGGAATCTGACCGGAGCCTTCCCCATACTGATCATTACTTTCAGAGAGTTTCTCCACCACATGATTTCTGTGAAGAATGAGAAGCATGTTATCATCAATGGTTTGATTAATGGTTTCTCACTATTTACTATTAAGTATTAGGATTACATTTTCATCAATTTCAGTGAATGTGTAGGCTTTCTACCCTATCTGACCAAGCAGAATAAACTGAATATCATGGAAGGGAATTCAACCATAGGAATTATGAAAACGGTGTTTCTTAAATGTGGCTTTTCCTCTTAATTGTTTTCAACTGAATTATGTTTTTAACACTCAACATATTTGAGGAAATATTTCTGTAAAAATTCTCAGGGAATAAACAAATCTGATCTAGGCTCCTATGGGTGTTTGCTTTGCTTTTTCACGTTCATGACATACTAAGATTCTCCCCTGGAACACTGCTTTCTCTTGTGAGTGCAACTCACCTCAGATGTCTCCCCTGCTTTGTGTGCTGATCTTCAGTGCTAAATTCTTCCCAAATTTTCCCTAAAACAGAGGCCCAGGAATCATTTCTGGTGAACTTTGCTATTTTATGTTCCTTGAATATTTTATTCCCATAAACATCCTGCTGAGAAACTGACCCACTGGCTTTAAATTGAGTCTCATCATCTGAAAGCAAAAAGGGAACAAGTTTTAAAGAAAGAAGGTACGTGTTGGTCAAAATGACACTGAGGAGTTTAGCTGGGTCAGGACTTCACCAATAACAAGTACAAGGGGTCAAGGTGGTAAGCAATTTAGTAAACACAGAATTCTCATAAGATTACATAAACATCACTGGGCTCCTTAATGACCCATGAAATCTATTCACTGATGACACACAGGGAGCAGTAGAGATAAAAATAATAATAATAATAATAAGTTTAATGCAGAGATTCTCCTTCTCATGCAGAAACTATTTGATTCTAGCTCTACGGTGGTTGTGACCCTGTCGGTCTTACTAATAATGTATCCCTTTTCCACAATCCAAATTTGGAAACAGGCTTGATGTGCAAGAAATGCTTGTTCTCTAAAAGACTAAGTGAAGGAATGAGGTCATTCTTACCCACTGAGGCCAGGTTTTTCAAGTTTTCCAGCATCACTTCTCTGTACAGTTCCCTCTGAGCAGAATCCAGCAAAGCCCACTCCTCCAGGGTGAAGTCCACGGCCACATCCTCAAAGACCACTGAGTCCTACAACACCCAACAGATGTGCAGAAGGAAAGCTGAGACTCACTGAGTAACCAGATTTGATTCATAGGAAATTCAGACAAGACTCTGTGGTCACCTAACCTCTACTCTATGACTCGATCATCAGATCTCTTACTCTGTCCACACTTATATCCTCACAAATTTAATAGCTCCACCATACACTGAACCTATCTTTACACTTTTACTGCAACCAAATCAAGTCTCATTCTTCTTTTACCAAAGGTTCAGACCACATTGGAGAATTCACAGAAATGCTCTAAAAATGAAACAAATATTTGCATTTTAAGACCCATCGATCCCTTGTGACACAAACTACTTTGGCTCCTTCCCTATTATGCGCCACATCACTAAACACCACATCAAGAGCCAGGTCAAACCTGGGTGAGGTTTTATGAAATAAGCACACACTGAAGGACTGGGAACTTTTCCTTCCATTCCCCTCACCAAACCCAAGAGGCTTACTGGAATCCACCTGCAGCAGGGGCCAGCTAACCATATCATCTTAAAGAACTCCAGGCTGTAAGTAGACTGTTTCTGCTGGCTAAATGATAAAATTCCCTTGGAGAAGTCTTCTTAATATATTTGTGTAATACAGGAATGGGATAGAAAGTTATTGAGAAGTCAGAGCTCAGGAAAGAGGACACCAACGTGAGAACTCAGTGCATTCCCTGCACTCCTGAATCTCAGTGCACCTGCCCTACATAAACACATACATACACACACACACACAGGGCAAATGTAATATGACGACAAAACAGCTCTTTCCACCAGAACCATGGAGGAGTATTCTTGCTGACCTTGAGGATAAGGTTAAAAGTCCCACCCTGCAAAGGAGTTAACTGAAGTCAAAAATATCTGACAGTGAGTTTGCCCAAGATTATAAAATACATAAAGGATTAAGCAGTGCCTTCCTACAAAGGAAACCCTCCCCCATATCAATTTCCAGGTAGAAGCGGTCCCCCAGACATCATCCTTCAGGCCGTACTCTCAATTTCTCTCCTTTCCATGTCCCTCTGTGTCCCTGTTGGGTACATGAGCATGTCAGCCCCCCTCCCCCAGAGCACAGGAACCACTGAGCTGCATGCTTCCCTTAAACCCTGATTTTTTAAAAAGCTCCTCAACCCACAGACATCCATGAGCACGAGGAAATACTCATCCAACGATTCTGATGCCAGAATTTACCTATTCAACAGGGTAGCAGAGTAACAGGAAAACCCCTACTACTGGAATGGGGACCAGTGGGAGGTTCCCAAGTCAGCTGAACTGTTCTTCATTATCTGTAGTGCTTCTTCCAGTGAACCCCCACACCTAGTGTGCAGACAGCGTGACTTTCAGCCTTATCCTTAGACACACCTCCCAGCAAGGCTGGTGTCTGGGAGCCTGGGTTTCAGGCTTCCCACCACCCTGACTGTATTACCCACTGTGGCTAAACCACTGTGCCCATGACATTGTTAATACTGAACGTGCCTTCCTTCTGGGAGTCTGGAGCAGAAACCCCAGGCACCAAGTCTCTGATGAGCCTCCCTGGTAGACAATATTCCATGTGTTGCCATGACTTGTTGCTGGGTGCACGCTGGGTGGCTCTGCCAGGAAAGAACTCTTAAAAACCTGCACTCGGTTTCCCTCAGACTTCTCCCCATATGCCTGTTCCCTCTGCTAATTTTGCTGGGTGTCCTTTTGTTGTGACAGATCACAGTCCTAAGTAAAAGTATAAGCTAAGTTGTGGGGGTCCGACTAGCAGGATGCAAGGGTGGTCTTGGAGACACCAGTCACAGTTGGCATCAGAGGTGGAATTTGCTAGAACACCCCTGACTCACTGAAATATAGCAAAAGCATGTTTGGGAAGAGGAGGGGGGTTGGGGAGATGGCGGAGCTCTGGAGCCCAGGGGGCTCGGTCATCTGTGGTGTGGACAAGCAGCTGAGCTGTGAAGCAAGAGCTGACAAGAGGTAAAAATGGGGGGGTGCCTGGGTGGCTCAGATGGTTAAGCATCTGCCTTCGGCTCAGGTCATGATCCCGGGGTCCTGGGATCAAGACCCGCATCCGGCTCCCTGCTCCGCGGGAGGCCTGCTTCTCCCCCTCCCTCTGTGTCTCGAATGAATAAATTTTAAAAATCTTAAAAAAAAAAAAAAAAAAGAGGTAAAAATGGCGGGTCCAGCTCCAGGAGGCCTGGCGCGCTGGATAGACTGGCTGCTTCTGGCCACGCTCTCTGAGCGAGAGAAGAAAAACAAAGCACAGCTTCGGTGAGGTCTTTGATTTTTGTTCACTCCTCCAGGCAAGAGGAGAAAAGGCCTCCCAAGTTACCAAGGTAAACTATGGATGGGCAAAAAAAATATGAAAAGTTTGCACTGCATTGGGAGAAAAAAAATAGTTAAATCAGCTTCTAGAGCTGGAGCAAACCTTTCAATAAACCAAGGGCCTAGTGGGCAGGGATCCTCTACCCTTTCTTCTCACCTAGTTGCTGCTGGGCTGCCAGAGCCTCCTGACCTGCACACGCGTTCAAGCCAGGACCTCCCCTGGCAGCTGTAATGTTACCCCTGTAAACGCTGATTTACTACTAGGGCCTCACTGTGGCTCAAACTGTGTCTCCCAAAAAAGTATGTTAAAATCCTAACCCCCCGGACCTATGAATGTGACCTTACTTGGAAATAGGATCTTTGCAAATGTAACCAAGTAAAGACGAGGTCTTTAGGAAAGGCCCCAATCCAAGCCGACTGGTGGCCTTCTAAGAGGAAAATGCCACGTGAAGCCGGAGACACTCGGGGAAGGTGGCCACATAAAGATGGGATGCAGAGATGGAATTCCACTGTCATAAGAAGAACGCTGGGGGCCACCAGAAGCCGCGAGATGCAAAATCCTCCCGCCACCTCCTTCTGGACTTCTCACCTCCCGAACGCTGAGTGAATACGTTTTTAAGCCACCCAGTTTATGGCAATTTGTTATGGGAACCCTACAAAACTAACACAGGCTTTGAATGAATTTGTGATGAGGGGCGCCTGGGTGGCTCAGTTGGTTAAACGACTGCCTTCGGCTCAGGTCATGATCCTGGAGTCCCGGGATCGAGTCCCACATCAGGCTCCCTGCTCAGCAGGGAGTCTGCTTCTCCCTCTGACCCTCCTCCCTCTCATGTTCTCTGTCTCTCATTCTCTCTCACAAATAAATAAAATCTCAATAAATAAATAAATAAATAAATAAATAAATAAACAAAATCTTCTTAAAAATTGTGATGAGAAAAAAAGGGGAAGGGGATTTTTTTACTTAAAATGGTTCTGCTTCATGACTACTGCACCTGCCCGTAAGATAAAAGCTGACACAGGCGGATGTGCGTGTAATCTCCTTAAATGCCAGAGGGACCATCCCCATCAGTGCACAGAAAGAAGTGCTGACAGGACACGACCCCCTTGTTTGTTGCCACTGGTGCAGGGAGTGGAAGTTAAATTCTAAGTCTTAGAAACAAGTTTAGGTCTCTGTAACAAATGATTTTTTACTGAGTTTTTACCTACCGGAGGTTCAAAACAAGAGGGAAACAGTGAAGAGACAGGCAATCTCTACCTGGAGATACACTTTGGGAATTTTAAGTGCAAGTCGTCAGCTCGTCGGAGGGCTCTCAGGAAACCCTATTTCTGACGACCGTCAGACTGATGACTGCCCAGCAGCGGCTCCGGTGGGTTGGGGAAAGTCATCCTTGCACCTCGGAACACAACTTTCTGACCCTGCAGTGTCTCGGCTTTGCTGCTGCTAAGAAAGGCCCCTAGTGATTCAGGGAATGCTGAATTCCGAACTGTCTGAACTTGACCGCAAGCTCACATTCCACGGTGTCCACAACGGGAGGCTTCGGCCTTAGCGCACACCGTACTGATCCAGAAGCAGGTATCAGCTCCACGAGGCTCTGACTCTGGGAATACTGCAGATTTAGGACACTTCCCCAAGATCCTAAGCTATGAAAACCTCGGGGTGGTCCGTCTGGGTCACTTACAGTTGCCAGTGAGGAAGGCCTCATTCTCCGATGAGACCATCTGAAATCAAGCCCTTCACTTCTGTTTCTTTCCACACAGATCACCCCCAGACACCGTCCACACTGGCGAGCGGGACAAGCTAGTAACGTGGGCAGGCAGTCCCTCCGAACAAGGACCAGACCGAATTACTTAAAATCGGCCTGCTGGGGGCCTGCTGACCGGGCTGCCTCATGCACATCCCATCGGGACACCATCTTATCCCCGGGAGACACTCAGGTCAGCTGCAACCTACAGGAATGGACACCTGAGGCCAGGTGGAAAAGAATACAGAAAAATAAAACAATACAGAAATTTTGACGATGAAGCCCCCTAACATTCTAAGACCTTTGCCTTTCTGGTTAATGGGATTTACTTGAACTGGGCAAGCCCAGGACCCCCTACAGGGCATACTGCAGACCTGTCTCACCCAGCTGCAAAGGGAACTACGGATGATAATTGCTGTAAGGAGGTCTCATCCAAGGGCCAAAGGAATGTGCTGTTGAGAAGTGACAACTGAACAGGCCTCAGTGTCCTTATCCTTAGAAAGTCCTGCTTCCAAGGTTGGCCCTTGGCTGGTTCAGAGGAACGTGGATTTGGGGAGGCTTCCCACCACACTGCTAGGAGAGGCTCCTTGTGTCTTTTTCTGCAAACTGTGTCTTGTGCTGAAGACCAGCTTTCCTTCTGGGAGTCTGGAATCCTGGTCCATGCTAGGCAAGGACCTGCCTCCATGGTGGCAGATGTCTCCATGACCAGCCCCCATTAAAAGACCTGCTAACTGAGTCTCTCATTAGCTTCCCTAGTAGAACATTCCACATGTGCCGTCATGCCCGGCTGCCGGGGGAACTCAGCACAGCCTGCGTGATGTCACTGGAGGGGACCCTTGGAACTCTGCACCTGGTCTCCTCAGGACATTTCCCCTCTGCTAACTGTGCTCTGTATTCTTGCGCTATAACAAATCAGAGCCGTGAACACAACTACATGCTGGGTCCTGGGAGTCCTCCTAATGAATCTCTGAACTGAAGGGTGTCTTGGGGGCCACTATAGACTGAAAGTTTTTGTGCCCCCCCCAAATTCATGTTAAACCCTAACTTCAATGTGACAGTACTGGGAGGTGGGGGCTCTGGGAGGGGCTTAGGTCATGAGGGTGCAGCCCTCACAAATGGGATGAGTGCCCTTATGAGAGACGCCAGAGAGCGCCCTTGCCCTGTCCTCCACATGAGGAAACAGTGAGGAGACCACTGTCCATGAACCAGGAAGGAGGGCCTCACCAGACACCAAATCTGCCAGGGCCTTGACTTTTGACTTCCCAGCCTCCAGAACTGAGAGAGACAAACGTGCATTGTTTATAAGCACCCAGTCTATGGCATTTTCGTTATAGCAGCCCCAACAGATGGAGATAGGGACTCCCAACACACCCAGCTGGAAACCATCAAATACTTTAACACAACATTAATTTTTTAAATGTGCACTGAGGGGGTGCCTGGGTGGCTCAGTCGGTTACCCATCTGCCTTCAGCTCAGGCCATGATCCCGGGGTCCTGGAAGCCAGCCCCATGTCAGGCTCCCTGCTCAGCGGGGAGTCTGCTTCTCCCTCTGCCCTCTCCCTGCCGCTCCCCCTGCTTGTGCTCTCTGTCAAATAAATAAATAAAATCTATATAAAAAATGTGCATTGAGAACCCAAAATATGCAAAAGACTCTGCAAAAAGCTTTGTGCACATTAGCGCATGTGTTCCTAGGAACTCTGCAGAGCAGCTGGGCACGCTGGTGCAGAGCAGAGGGAATGCAGAGCAGACTCCTCGAACACCCGCGCTTGCACACAGAGCTCACAGTGGTTCCGCTGTTGCGACTGGTGTCTCCCGAGGTGGTAAGGAGACACACCGATCCTGCAGAGCCCCGTGGGGAAGCTCATTCCACTCTCACATGCTGTGCCCTGCGCCCAGCTAGGACTGCTCTGAGGGTCCGACTTCTAGCTCCTCCGTGGAGTAAGATGCATTCCGGTTGCAGTTACACAGGTCCTTGTACTGGTACTAACAAAACAAAAATCCTGAACCTTGTGGATTTAAATTCTCTTGGGGGAAAATAATAAATAAGCAAACCAAATATAAGTACTGCGGAAAACGTGCCACAGCAAGGGGATGAGGAGGGATATGTGTATATTTACGTGTGTGTTTGTATGTACGTTTATCTATATCCGAGTTGCCACGGACACAGACACATAGGAATGACTGGTTGGAGGGCGGAGGAAAGGAGAGCAGAAAAGTAACTATTTGAGATTGTACTGCAAATGGACACCTAATTGCTCAAAAATACATGTAAGTACACACATATAACAATATGCACACATGCACAGAAGCATATATGCAGAACTATAGATATACATATAAGTCTTTATATACTTCCACATACTAGTTACATCTTGAGAGTGAGGGGACCTGACCCTGGGGATCACTCCAAGTGGGGTGTCTGGTGTGAAAGTTCTACATTTAGGGTTGAATTTCATTTCACAGAGGATTATTTTTTAAGGTATCTGTCAGCTGTACCTAGGTCATTTGCATTTTCCTGCGCCGATCCTATATTACACAAGAGAAAACTCTGAAATCTATTCATATGATTTACCTGTAATCATCGTAAGAGTTGCCAAAAACCATTTTATAATATTCAACAGTCGTACATAAAAAATCTTACCACCGGGAAATGATGGTAACTAACATGCCTAACCTGATAAGGGAAAACCAATAAAAGAATGTTCAAAACAGAACAAGGAATATATAAATGGTATGAAGCTCACTGTTTTCTCAAAAACAATTAGGTAGAAATCAGGTATGCCCAGCTCCTCACTGTTAGTCAACATTATACTAGAGATCCCATCAGTACCACCAGGAAATAAACAAAGGTAGAATACTAGAAAAGAAACCCTTGCCTTCGTGTCTAAACCTAAAAACTGTATATACAGGACACCTATGGAACAGAAATGACAGTCACAGAGTAAGATTTTCAATAAGAATCCAGGATAAAACTTCAGTATAAACCCAACTTCATTACCTAATTTTTTAAAAAGATTTTTTATTTATTTATTTGACAGAGCACAAGCAGGGGGAGCGGCAGAGGGAGAGGGAGAAGCAGACCCCCCATTGCGCAGGGAGCCCGATGTGGGACTCGATCCCAAGACCCGGGGATCATGACCTGAGTGGAAGGCAGACGCTTAACCGACTGAGCCACCCAGGCGCCCTTTCATTACCTAATTAATAGAAACAGCAAGTTGGAAAATATATTTTTAAAAAGGTAACACATACTATGGTAAAAACCAAATTTCATTAGTATTAAATAAGTAAAATGAAGGCTATTAAAGAACCCAAAAGGAAAAATTTGAAAACATTAAGGGTAATACCCCAAACGAAACAAATGGAAAGAAGGCACACATTCTTGGGGGGGGCGGGCTCGGGGGCTCACTGTCACTAAGATATCAACCCTCCCAAGACAGACCTAGGGTCTTCAAAAAATACCATTAAATCCATAAACCAAGGGACGCCTGGGTGGCTCAGTCTGTTAAGCGGCTGCCTTCGGCCCAGGTCATGATCCCAGGGTCCTGGGATTGAGTCCCACATCGGGCTCCTCGCTCAGCGGGGAGCCTGCTTCTCCCTCTCTGTCCCTCTGCTTGTGCTCTATCAAATAAAATCTTTAAAAAAAAAAGAAATCCATAAACCAAGTGTGGTTTGGGGGGCGGGAGAGGGGGCAAGACAAATACCAATTTTGCAAACCTAATAGGAAGAACGAACGTCCAAAACCAGGCACCATGTTCTAAAGAACAAGGCGGGGCCTGCCCACACCCAGCAAGGATTTGAAAGCAAAGACACTCCTGACCTGATGAGATTCACAGAGACACCGCCTAAATCGATGGCTCCGAGCCTATGGATGGGGAGGCTTGACTCACAGCGCACAGCCCCCGAAGAGCGCGACAGTGACAATCTGATTTCCAGATGAGAAAGGTGCGTATTAATAAATGAACTGCAGCCAGTGGACTGTAGCTGAAAGCAAAGTGTATTACGGACAACAGGACACAGTGCTGCCCAGAAAAGAACAGCCTGGGCAATCTCCGTGACTCCCAGCTGACCTCCCACACTTTGGGGACAGGGATTCGTTTCTCCGAAGCCGCACTGGAAGGGAGCTCTTTCTCTATTTCGGGGACGTGCTTTTCCCCAGAAGGGCTTTCACGGGCAGGCCCTGGGATTCCAATGGTCCCCACTCAAAGGCACTGACCTGAGAAACTTACTCCGCGCCGGGGGCGGTTTAAAAAGAGTGTTTAACGCAGGGAGCGCAAGACATTGCCTTGCTTTTCTGACATTCACTCCGTTGAAAACAGTTCATCTTCGCCCTCACGCTCCATCAATTGACTGGACTGGACATTTGCTCCAACACTGCGGCTCCGCTAAGTGGACACAGCTTTTCGAGGGGACGCCCCCGGGCGTGTGTCTCCAGGGTCTCGCGCGGCCGGCACACAGCGCGGGGCCCCTCGCCCAGCGCCCCGAAGTGTCCCCCGAACAAAGGGCGCCGGCCCCGGGGCCCCCGCGCGGTGCGCGCAGGAGACACCACCAGCCCTCCGGGTGGAGAGCCCAGCGGCAGGAACCGGTTCTCCTGTCCCGCAACACCAGCGTCCAGCCGGACCCTGGTCCCAGGACTGAGAACCGGAGTCGGGGTGACCCGGGGCCGAGGGCCTGCCAGGGGGTCCCCCGAGCCCAGGGCCCCCCGCAGGTCTCCCCACACTCCTCGCCCGCCCCCCCACTGCACCCCGAGGCTGTCCTCGGGGAGGAGCCGGCCCAGGACTGAGAGTCCCCGAGCCCTCAGCCGAGGGCGGGGACTCGGGGCGGGACCCCCGGGCCCGCGGCCGCAGGAAGCCGGTTCCGGCCGGTTGGAGCCAGCCCCTCCCGGTCTCGGCCCGGGCCGCGCGCACTCACCATCTCGCGGCCCGGCTCCGAGCTTCCGGGCGTCCTCCCCGCGGGCCCGCGGGCCGGGCAGGTGAGAGCGGCGCGCACCGGACACCTGGAGCCGCGCGGGGGAGGTGCGCGGGGGCGCCCGGGCCGGCCCAGAGCCACGTCCACGCGGCCTCGAGCGCGCCCGCCCCCGCGTCTGATTGGACGGTGCTCGGGCACCTCCCTCTCCCAGGGCCTCCGATTGGGGACTTCTGCAAGGCCCGCCTCCGGTGCCCCTGACTGGGCAGTGCTCGGGACCCGCCTCCTTGATTGGCTAGCTCTCCGGGCACCGCCCAGGAGTCCTGATCGTCCTCCGAGAACCGCCCCTTTCGTTCCGATTGGACGGTTCTCCAGGGCCACGCCTCTGCACCTGAGTGACAGGCCGTCCGGACACACGTGGCTGACCCGCCCGCTCCGGACGCGCGCTCCCAGCGGAACCTCCTCCCGGCGCGGCGGGTCCGGCGGCTCCCCCGCCCCTCGGCGCTCCGCCCGGGTCCTTCTGCTGGGTTGGGAAGTCCTGACCCGGTGTCCCCGCGGAGCGCCCCTTGTTGGAGCCGGACAGGAGCAGACGGGACCGGAAGGTCTGGGGTCGAGGTCACCGTGGCCCTGTGCTCTTTGTTTAAGAACAAAGACCCTCCTCAGTGACGTCACCGCATGGGAGGCCCAGGGAGCTCGGGTTTCACGGGTGACCTTTGACACCGGGAGCCCCGCCCTTGACCCCCCACCCCCCGCTGGAGGTCAGCAAACCGGGTCCACGGGTCCCGGGCAGCCCTTACGATCCGCAGGTGCAAGTTCTACGCTGCTAGGAAATTTATTTCCAGGCAGGGTTTTGATGTGTCCCCAGGAAATTTTTCAATATAAAATGCTGTGATGTCCCTAAGGTAACTGAATTCCTATGTTAACTGAAAACGAAATAGTTTGTGTAACGCTTTGGGATGGACTTGAAAACCCTTAATACCTTTAATAGACGTGAGCTAAACAGCCAAGGCATCTCATACGCCTGCTCATGTCAGACAGCACTCTAGGTTGAGACTAACTGGACGTCCAAACTCCGATATCACTTGTTTGATTTACAAACAGAATTTTTTAAAAAGAGTTATTTACTGGGGCGTCTTCCGGCGGCTGGGGTCGTGATCCTGGGGTCAGCATTTGGCTTCTTGCTCTGCGGGGAGCCTGCTTCTCCTTCTCCCTCTAACTGCTGCTCCACCTGCTTGTGCTCTCTGTCAAATAAAATCTTAAAAAATAAAATAAAATAAATTTATTTATTTATTTTGAGGGAGGAGGGGCAGAGGGAGAGAATATTCAAGCCGACTCCCACCCAGGGTAGAGCTGGCCCTGGGGCTCCATCTCAGGATCCTGAGATCATGACCTGAGCCAAAACCAAGAGTCAGGCACTTAACCGACTGAGGAACCCAGGTGCCCCTGGAGTCATCAACTATTAAAAATAAAGTATAGGGCACCTGGGTGGCTCAGTCGTTGGGCGTCTGCCTTCGGCTCGGGTCAGGATCCCAGGGTCCTGGGATCGAGCCCCACGTCGGGCGCTCTGCTCGGCGGGGAGCCTGCTTCTCCCTCTCCCACTCCCCCTGCTTGTGTTCCCTCTCTCTCTGTGTCTCTCTCTGTCAAGTAAATAAAATCTTTAAAAATAAATAAATAAATAAAAATAAAAAAATAAAGTATGATTATATACTTTTTTGCTTAATAAGGATTAATAGTGAATACCAAGTTTCAATAAACCATGAGATATAGAAGTCTGCCTTAGGACTGGGTCCGGGCTTAGTCGGCCTGCCATGTGTTCAGATAAATATCCTATAAGCATCACTAGTAAAGGACATGTCAGGGGCATCTGGGTGGCTCAGTCGGTTAAGCGTCTGCCTTCGGCTCAGTTCATGATCCCAGGGTCCTGGGATCGAGCCCCACATCAGGCTCCCTGCTCCGCGGGAAGCCTGCTTCTCCCTCTCCCCCTCCCCCTGCTTGTGTTCCCTCTCTCGCTGTGTCTCTCTCTGTCAAATAAATAAATAAAATCTTTTTAAAAAAATAATAAAGGACATGTCATTTCATTTCTTAAGGTGAAAAATGAGGCTGGTCTGTGAATTCTCCACAAAACATTCACTGCAACCAGAGAAAAAGGTAAAACTATAGTAACCAGAGGGAAAAGAAGCGTGAGTCAAGGTATTTAGGATGTGATTCACATATGGAGGTAAAAAAGACAGTGTCAAACGTGCAAGCAGTGACAGGGACAGGAAGGGGCAAGACCCCGTCTCCCTCCTGCAGCCTCCATCCTCCCTGCAACCTCTTCAGTTAGCAGGTTCTAGTACTGGGGGAGTCTACACAGTAGACGTGGTTTGCAGCATTTCCACCCCACTTCAACCCCAGGTCATAAAGCAAAGTAGGAAAGGTGTGGCCAGCAGCATAACAGCATCCTAACGGTGCACGCGCCCTAATCACCGGAACCGGAATATTTCACTTCATGTGGCAAAAGGGACTTTGCAGAGCTGATTAAGGTCCCGAGGTGGGGATGACCCTGGGTTCCCGGGGGCCCGGCGTCCTCAGGAGGCCCTCACGAGGGGGAGGCAGAGGGTGGGAGTCCCAGAGATGGGCAGACCCTGTGCTGCTGGCAGTGAGGATGGAGGAGGGGACGGCAGGGCCAAGGAATTTGGGTGGCTTCTAGAAACCAGAAAAGGTAAGGGAACAGATTCTCTCTTAGGCTCTCCAAAAAGAACACAGCCTCGCCAACACTTTGTGTTTAGGCTTCTGACCTCCAGAACTGTTGTAAGAAATTGGTTGTTTTAAGTCACTAAATGTGTGCTGATTTGTTACAGCAGTGACAGGAAGCTCACATAGTGCGTCTGAAGCAGAGGAAAATGGCTCCGGTCATGGCACAGAGAAGACCTCTTCCCAATCTCATTTTTCCTGAGACAATTCTCAACTTTCCAGGAGCTCCTTCAACCTGATTCTGCTCCTACAACCGTCCCTCTTGGAGTGATCCCACAGGTTTTCAGAGAACAGCGTCTTTGTGTTTGAAATGCAGCACTTTTTTTTTTTTTTTTTTTTTTTTTTTTTTATTTGTCAGAGAGACAGAGCACACACAAGCAGGGGGAGCGGCAGAGGGAGAAGGAGGCTCCCCGCTGAGCAGGGAGCCTGATGTGGGGCTCGATCCCAGGACTCTAGGATCGTGATCTGAGCTGAAGGCAGGTGCTTAATGGACTGAGCCACCCAGGCGTCCCTGAAATGTAGCACTTTTTAGATGATATTCTGATGAGAAATTTTACCCACACCATAAGCATCCATTTGTGAAACATTAGGAGGGCTGGTTTTTTGCACGCCTCCTCAGAGCATGGATTAATGAGAATCACAACACAGAGAGAAGGGAAGCACTTTAAAACTGTTATGCATTTCAACCATACAGGACATGCAGTAAGTTTCTGAACACTCATGTATCTGCTGTTAAACTGTATTAAATCCTATCAGCTTACCATACTCCATCAGATTGCTTGAAAGAAAGAAAACATTACAGATAGAATTGAAATGCCCTGTGTATCGCCTCCAGGATCCCCAAATCCCTTCCACCTCCTCCCAGAGGAAACCACAGTCACAAATTTGGTGTTTATTATTGCCATGACATACATTTGAATCCATACACTATATATAACATTATTTTCCCTACTTTCAAAAAATTTTTTAAAGTGTATTATGTATTTTTTTTTTTTAAGATTTTATTTATTTGCGAGAGAGAGAATGAGAGACAGAGAGCATGAGAGGAAGGAGGGTCAGAGGGAGAAGCAGACTCCCTGCTGAGCAGGGAGCCTGATGTGGGACTCGATCCCGGGACTCCAGGATCATGACCTGAGCCGAAGGCAGTCGCTTAACCAACTGAGCCACCCAGGCGCCCTAAAGTGTATTATGTATTATACACACTCTGCAACTTGGCCTTTTTATCCTACAAAGGCTGCTTAATACTGGTAAGTCACAATATAGTTTCATTGTAATGTTTAATGTAATAAAATAAAATACTAAAAGACACTGAAGCAGGAAACACACCTTCCAAATTACCAGAAAAGAAATACACTCCACCAATACCATCAATAGAGAAGTCAGAAAATAAAAGAAGCTTCAAAAATAAGTGACATAAAGTACATCAGAATTAAAGCCAACATTTATCACAGCAATAATTGGCATAAATGTGTCCTTTAAAAACAAATAGATTTTCTGCTTTGAATCCTAAAACAAAAACCAACTATGTACTAAAAATGAGAGACACAAGGAACTTAAAAAGTTGAACTTCAGGGCACCTGGGTGGCTCAGTTGGTTAAGCGACTGCCTTCGGCTCAGGTCATGATCCTGGAGTCCCGGGATCGAGTCCCGCATCGGGCTCCCTGCTCGGCAGGGAGTCTGCTTTGCCCTCTGACCCTATCCCCTCTCATGTGTTCTCTCTCATTCTCTCTCTCTCAAAATAAATAAATAAAATCTTTAAAAAAAAAAAAAAGTTGAACTTCAAAGGAGGTGAAAAATTATACCAAAAATAAACAAATTTGTTTTGTTGAAAAAGCAGAGGTGGTACTATTAATTGAAGCAGACAAAGAGAGTCATTTCAAAATGATAAAGGGCATAATTCACAATGAAGACCTGTCACGAATTATTTACACCAAATAAAAGAAAATAAAAAACCAAAACAACAGAAAAAGAAGTGAAAACAACAGAAAATACAGACGGGAAGTTAGCACAAGAGCAGTAGGAAACTGTAACTTAATCCTTTTGAGCTAATTATCTTTGAATCAACAATCTAAGTACAGTTAAGGACCAGCTATGGTTCTCAAAGTGTAACTGAAAGAGAAGGAGCATCTGTGAAATCGCCTGGTGTGCTTATTAAAAATGCACATTACTGAGCACCAACTCTCACTTGTCAAATCTCAATCTCCTGACATGAAATTTGAGAGCCAATGATTAGTAAGATTGATTTAACAGACAAGCCAGATTCCAAAGCACAAAAACAGAGAATACAGCTTCTCCTCGGTATCTAGAGAACACCTCTAAAACTCGATCATATAGTACACCACACAGTGAAACTCAACATGTCTCAACGACTCAAGACAGTAGACACATTCTCAGACCATAGCATAATAAAAGCAGAAACTGAATAAAGATGATGGGAATCTACAGAAAGCCCGCAGAAAACATCATACTCTGTGGTGAAAGACTGAATGCTTTTCCCTACGATCTGGAACAAAGCAAGGAGGTCTGTTCTCAACACTCCTGTTCAGCACTGTACTAAAGGATTGAGCCAGTGCAATCAGACAAGAAAAATAATTTGTTTTTAAAGAGCGGGAGAAGGGTATTTAAACACCCGAAAGTTTAAAAAAATACATACTCTCTCTCAAAGTACTTTTGAGTCAGAGAAATCAAAACAAACATTGTAAATATTTTTTTAAGTAGGCTCCACGCCCAACGTGGGGCTTGAACTCATGACCCTGAGATCAAGAGTCACATGCTATACCGACAAGCCAGCCCGACACCCTTGTAAATATATTTTTATTAACTATGTGAAAACGAAGCTAAACTGAAGGTCTCCTCTGGTTAAATTCCTCACCTTGGAGGCTCCAATCACTCACATCTCAAATCAAGTATCAGGTTCTCAGAAAGGCCCTGAGGTTGGTCCCTCTCATATTATCTATCACAGCAGCATCCTGTTTAAGTCCCCAAGAGCACTACCAAAATATGCAATTATTTAATTAAAGTATGTAGTTAGCTATTTAATGTCTATCCCGGCCCCTCACTCCATCATGGGTCTGGCTACACAATGAACCAGGCTCCCTGCGAAATGGAAAAACAGTGTACCCATGACACCCCATGTCAGCTAGTCCTCAGAATGGGATGAAAGCGACAGACACTGCCCCAGATAACACATTATGCCCCAGCATACATTCTGCATCCAACTCAAGATTGTTCACAGAGCCGTCAAGCAACATCCATCAGCCCAATAGGGTCTACACGGACTCCAGATGAGGGATCTCTACTTTGGAGAAAGGCAACAACACCCATGTAATCAGGTGCCACTTAATTGAAAGATCTGACAGGCAACCATCCTCATCAGCTCCAGAGAGAGGGAAAGATTCAGATGAAAGTCAGATGGCTTCCAAGGAGAATTTAGAAAACACAGCTCCCCTTGAACAGGTTGTTCAAGTTCAAATCCTGGCTCTGCCACTTTCTAGTCGTCTGACTTTGGACAAGTTACCTTATTTCTGTTTCCGCTTCTGTCATACAGAGATGTGAACAGCTACCATCTCATGGGGTTGTTCAGATTAAACGAGGAACCACATATAAGAGCTAGAGTGATGCTGAAAATACAGCAAGCAACCAGTAAATATTGACGTTGATGGTAATGATGCACATCAGAGCTCGTGGTCTCTGCTCTGCCAAGTCCACCACACAGTTGGGACTTCTCCCAGGCCATCAAAGGCTGCTTCACTGACCTACTGCACTGTATCCTTCCCATCATGGCGTCCACAGTCCTCCCTGACTGCTCAAAGCCGTATCCCTTGGCATTGTCTGATTTCTACTGATTACCATTACAAAATGGCAAATACCAAACAAAATAGCAAATTGTTTGGCAATACCAAACAAAATGGCAAAAGGCAGAAAATCACACATAATCAGATAACTCTGACAAATGAACTCCGTTCATTCTTCCACATCTCTGTCCGGCCTTTGTCCACTTATGTACATATTTTGACTTCACTGGATAGAATCACACATACTATTTTGCACTCTTTATTTTCCACTTTGCACCCAAAGCTCCTTCTGTGTAAGCATACATTCTGCATTGCCATAGCAGGACAAGAAACAAGTTAGGACCTAGCCAAGTGACCAACAGGGGCAGAATGACTATGTAAAATATTGAAACCGATTATTGAAACAATAATACTGAAGTTTCAAACAAAAGGTTGAAACAGAATACTTTTTGTTTCAACAACTAAATTAATGTGACAATTCTTAGCAAAATCCCACTGCATGTTAGTGTTCACATTTATTAATCTCTTCCAAAAGCACAGGCATTGGGCATAGCTCAATGGCAATTCTCCCCATTAAAAAGGTCCCTTCTCAGATCTGGACTTCAGTGTTTTTCTTCAAGAATGTGGCATACACCTACTTCTTTTCAAATAGTACATCACAAGGGCAAAACCTATCCACACTTAAGTAGTAGAGTGCTAAAAGTTACTTTACAGAGCAGCAATAATCTCTAAAATCCAATAAGGTAGCTGCTCTGATAGAAAGCTTTCCCACAATCAATTATTTTATAGGTTTTCTGACTAGTGTGAGTTTTCTGATGGGTGATAAGGGATGAGCTCTGGCTGAATGCTTTCCCACATTCATTACAGCTATACGGTTTCTCTCCAGTGTGAGTTCTCTCGTGCCTAACGAGGGAAGACCTCTGGCTGAAGGCTCTTCCACATTGATTACATTCATAGGGGTTCTCACCGGTGTGAGTTCTCTCGTGTTGGTTAAGTGAGGAACGATCACTGAAGGCCTTTCCACATTCATTACATTCATAGGGCTTCTCACCAGTATGCGTTCTCCTGTGCAAGATCAGGTAAGAACTCTGGCAGAAGGATTTTCCACAGTCTTTGCATTTATAGGGCTTTTCCCCTGTGTGAATCCTCCGGTGCTGGGTAAGAGACGAAATCCTGTTGAAGGCTTTCCCACAGTCACTGCACATGTAGGGCTTCTCTCCAGTATGAGTTCTCAAGTGTCGTGTGAGGGTTGAGCTGTGCGTAAAGGCTCTCCCACATTCCTGACATTCATATGGTCTCTCTCCTGTATGTATTCTCTGATGTTCACTCAGGGAATGCCTCCGATTAAACATTTTCCCGCAGTGGTAACATTCATAGGGTTTCCCCACTGTATTAATTGTGGTGTGTGTCCTAAGAGCCATACCATGATTAAATGACTCCCCACTTTCTGCATGCGTACAGATTCCAGTTCTTTTGTGTTGAACAAAGGGACTGTTTGGGCTGATGTCTTTTCCACATTCATTCCCTTCACAGGGCCTCTGGTCTGAATATCCCATCTGATGATGTTTTAAGAATGGATCAGCTACCAAACTCTCAATATCAAGATCACAGTCATGGAAATGTTTTCCTACAAAACCTCCTTGTGATAAAGCAAGGTCTGAGTTCATACTACAGGTTTCCCCAAACTCATGCCAGGCAGTGGACTCCTTTGGAGCAAATGCCTCTGCTTGGGTATATGCCATTTGCCTCAAAAGCCTGTGGGAGTCTTCATGGTTCTCCTCCAGCTGACCACATGCCCAGTCTTCTCTGGAGAGCTTTATGATATTCATACCACTGGCTGGTTCTTCCTCCAAAACCACCTTCTTATAAATTGACTCTTGGCTTTTCAGACTAGTCTCCAAATCTGAAATAAATTAAGGGGGGGGGGAGACATTTAACTTAATAATAGTGGGACCAAAGTACTTCCAACATACACAATGCACATGTGAATTCATGATTCATGTTCAAATATCAGCATTCAACATGGGGGAAAACAGGAAAAGATCCTAAGGACAGGAAGCAGTGTAAGAAGCTGGACAACAATGAAAAATGGGAGAAAAAAATGTAAATACAGAAGGAATGGTTCTACAAAGGAGGGAGAAGGAATATGGCAGAGAGAAAGAATCATCAAGAAAGCAGACAGGGAAGAGAGGTAAGAAGAAATACAGGTAGAATAGCTTCAAGAAAGAAATGGGATATCTTAAAAAAAAAAGAAAAAAGAAAAAAAAAAAAGAAGTGGGATATCTTTTCTCTGCACCCACAGCGGGTGGTAGAAGCTAGTGCATAGGGCAAGGTTGCCGGAGATGAACCGAAGGTATCTGAGAAAGAGCAACCAAAGACCTCAACCTTCTCCTTATAGAGTTCCGGCCTCTGTGGAGGGATCTCTGACCTGCAGTCCCCAAGATGCCACCCCCACTCAATGGCTTGTATCTGCCTGGCTCTCACCTGAACAGGAGGTTTGGGGAGTTCCTTGTGGCCCCATCCACATGGCTTCTCCTGGCTCCAAGTGGGAAGGCACCACTGGTAGAAAGAGTGGACACCCCACCTGTGGGGAAGGACTGGTGGCCCGCGAGGTCTGCATTGGGGAAAGTGTGCCATCGTCAACGCCTATATCAGAACTTTGGTTCTTCAAGGCTCCTGAAAGAGACAAGAGTACACTGGACAGGTAGCACGTTGACCAAGCTGGAGATTTTATTTTCCTAATTAAAAACCTGTGGATTTTACATTTCCCCGAGAAAAATCTACAAATGGCCAGCAAGCACATGAAAAGATGTTCAACGTCATTAGCCATTAGGGAAATGCAAATCAAAACCACAGTGAGACATCATGTCATACCTACTAGGATGGGTATGATTTTTTTTAAAAGAGCAAAAGCAGAAAATAAGTCTTAGAGAGGATGCGGGAAAATCAGAATCCTTGTGCATGGCTGGTAAGATGGTGCTGTGAAAACCAGCTTGGTGGTTCCTCGAAAAGGTAAACATAGAATTACCGTTGGACCTAGCAATTCCACTTCTGGGTATGGACTGAAGGTTGCTGGAAGCAGGGAGGCAAAGTACTATTTGCACACCCACGTTCACAGCGACCAAAAAGTTGAAACAACCCAAGTGTCTATCTATGGACAAGTGGATAAATAAAATGTGGTCCATCCAAACAGTGGAATATTATTAAGCCATAAAAAGTAATTAAATTCTGACACCTGCCACGATGTGGAGGGACCCCCGAGGACACTGGGCTCAGCGACAGGAGCCAGACCCAGAAGGACACATCCCGCAGGACCCCACTCCCAGGAGGTCCCCAGAGGAGTCCCGTCCACAGAGACAGAGAGGAGAGGGTGGGAGCCGGGGCTGGGGCAGGGGGTGGGGAGTCCGTGCTTCGTGGGGACAGAGTCTCCGTGTGGGGACATGGAACGTTCTGGAGACGGAGGGTGGGGGTGGGAGTCCGTGCTTAGTGAGTATAGGGTTTCTCTCTGAGGTGATGAAAAGGTTTTGGAAACAGCACTGAAGGTCCGACAACATTTTGAAGGTAATTACTGCCTCTGAATTGTATACCTAAAAAATGGATTAAGAAGGCAAATTTTACTTTACATGTATTTTACAACAAAAATTTTTTAAGGGTGACTCTGTAACCAAGAGGACTCAGGGACGTTCTCTCGGACTAAGGTGCGAGGTGCGTCTCAACAGCAGCTCGGACAATCACACAGCGAAGAAATCAGGCCATTGTCTGCGTCGAAGAGCCCAGCGCACCATGAGCCCACAGGGACAGGAACCACGGCCGCCGTATTCACCCCACAAACCCCCACTTCCTAACCCGCTCGGGACGCGGTGTAGACGCTGAGTGAGCGTGAACCGAGGAGCGGGTGGATGCGCGCTGCTGGTCTTACCCAGGGCGGCCAGGTTCGCCCAGGTGTCCAGCATCACCTCTCTGTAGAGCCTCCTCTGCGCGGAATCCAGCATCGCCCACTCCTCCCGGGAGAAGTCCACGGCCACATCCTCCAAGGTCACCAACTCCTAAAACGTCACATCGGTTCTGCTCAGGCACGCCCCCGCCCCATCCGCGGTCACAGGAGGAACGCAGAGGGAGGTGGTCCACGTGGAGTGGGTGCCCAGCCCAGAGGTCAGACTGCCAGCGCAGGGCGGCCGTAGGGGCACATGCGGCCCATTTGCTGCTGTAGTTGTTAAGATTGATTGATTGATTGATTGATTGTCAGAGAGAGAGAGTGTGCACAAGCAGGGGGAGCGGCAGACAGAGGGAGAGGGAGAAGCAGGCTCCCGGCCGAGCAGGGAGCCCGATGCGGGGCTCGATCCCAGGACCCTGGGACCATGACCCGAGCTGAAGGCAGATGCCTCACCGACTGAGCCACCCAGGCACCCCAATATTAAAAGTTTCTGTGTTTCTCCCACCCAGAAGAAAAAAGTTAGCACCCAGGGCTGCCACAAAATTTTAGATAAAGTGGGGGCGCCTGGGTGGCTCGGTCGGTCAAGTGTCCAGCTCTCGATTTCGGCTCAGGTCATGATCCCAGGGTGCTGCGCTCCCCGTTCTGTGCGGAGTCTGCTGGAGATTGTCTCCCTCTCCCTCTGCTCCTCCCCTGTTTGCACTCTTGCCCTCTCTCAAATAAATAAATAAAATATTTATTTTAATTTTTAGATAAAGTAGGAAAAAACAGGCTTTTTTCCAGGCCAGCAGCTGCTGCTGCAACCTCCCCCAGACCCCCTCACATTCCTGCTGCCTTCTTCCCAGGGAGCTCTAGGGTTAACCCTGCAGCTGCTGAACTCACTGCAAGGCTTTGAGTAAATCTGCAATTAAATAAAAAGGAAAACAATTTTAATGGCTTTGAACTTTGTGACTATTACATATGGATGTACAATTAGAAATGAGTGTGAAATATCACTTCGTATTTATTAAATAATATATTTATATTTAATATTTATAATAAATAAATATTGTTTAAAATTATATATATAATTATATTATTATAATTCCATAATGGATCATCTCAATTAGGGAAGACTAGGGAAAAAGTCTCAGTGGGACACAAGTTCTTTGTTTTTTGCTGCCAGGTGAGCAGGTTAAAATGTAAGCTCTTTAAATACTAAAAACAGGGCGCCTGGGTGGCTCAGATGGTTAAGCGTCTGCCTTCGGCTCAGGTCATGATCCCAGGGTCCTGGGATCGAGTCCCACATCGGGCTCCCTGCTCCTTGGGAGCCTGCTTCTCCTTCTGCCTCTCTCTCTCTGTCTCTCATGAATAAATAAATAAAATCTTTAAAAAAAAAAAAATACTAAAAACAAGCCTCCATGACTCATGATTTTTATGACTTACACCTATCGGAGAACAACATGAAGAGAGAGGAGATCCCCAGATGGAGAAATGCCGTTAGGGTTTTAAAGACTCAGGTCTGAGCCACTAAGGGGCTCGTGATCCCGCGTGGCCTGGAGAGATGAGGACCCTCCAGCCTGACCGCCTCGGTCTGAGTGGCTCCATTTATGTGCACATGAAGACAGACGAGACGAGAACGGCCACGGCCCGGCCCTGTGGCATCTCAGCTTTGCCGCTGCCGAGGGACAAGCCGCTGGCTTTGTTTGGAACCCTGACCTCACAGGTTCTGGGCCCAGCACGGGCTCCAAGCTGAAACCTCACAACGTCCCCAAGGGCTGTGTCAGGCCTGAAGCAGGTGTGCCTGCAATGACCAGGACTTCGATGCGGGGGCCAGAGCAATTGAAGACCTCTCTCCAGGGGGCCCCAATAGGACATCACAGATACTGACTGGACATCTGGGTCACTCACAAATGACCCCAGGAAAGGGCTTGTTCTCCGAGGGACCACCTGAACCCGAGCTGTTGGTCACCTCTGTATTTCTGATGCAGACACTGATCACGTTCCCAAAGCTGTGAGTTAGGGGACAGGGACCCTGCCTACTGCTCTCTACAGATCTGCTGTCCCAGCCGATAGTGGCTTCTGCTCCCCACCTCTCTCCTGATGCTCATGCCCCAGAAGGCAGCTTCCCATCAAATGCAGCTGTCCTCAGGCTTAGGAAGGAAAGGACCCTGACACCTGCCACGACGCGGAGGGACCCCGAGGACACTGGGCTCAGCGAGAGGAGCCAGACCCAGAAGGACACATCCCGCAGGACCCCACTCCCAGGAGGTCCCCAGAGGAGTCCCGTCCACAGAGACAGAGAGGAGAGTGTGGGAGCTGGGGCTGGGGCCAGGGGTGGGGAGTCTGTGCTTCATGGGGACAGAGTCTCCGTATGGGGAGATGGAAAGTCCTGGAGACAGAGGGTGGGGGCGGTCGCAGGACAGCACGAGCTATGTACTGAAAGTGGTGAATTTCATGTTGTGTGTATTTGACCACAATTTTGAAAATTATTTTTAAATAAGGAGGATAGGGCACCTGGGTGGCTCAGTTGGTTAAGCGACTGCCTTCGGCTCAGGTCATGATCCTGGAGTCCCTGGATCGAGTCCCACATCAGGCTCCCTGCTCGGCGGGGAGTCTGCTTCTCCCTCTGACCCTCCTCCCTCTCATGCTCTCTGTATCTCATTCTCTCTGTCTCAAATAAATAAATAAAATCTTAAAAAAAAAAAAAAAATAAGGAGGATGGCGCAGCTCTTCCCGCCATGGGGGAAGTGCAGGGTCTTCAGGCCACAAGGACGCGCTCCCAGCCCAGGAAGGAAGCACAGCTCTCCTGTGGGGAAAGGTGTGCTAAATCCAGCGTATGCCTCTCCTTAGACATCCAAGAAGCAGGGGTACTCGGACCCAGATGCTCATGGGCAGTGCTCCCTCGGTTCCCACATAGCGAGGAATGCAAGTCTGGTAGGAGCGCTTCCCCTGACACACCGGGCATCTTCAGGGCCGGAGGAAGTCCCCACTCACCTGGGGCCATGGGGGCAGGTAGCCAGCAGCCATTCTCTTCTCTTAGGAGCAGTTTCCAAAGCAGGCAGAGCTGCGGGAGGAGAAGGGACCGTGAAGCCCAGGCCCAGACCTGTCCCCAGTCCCCAGATCCTGGGCCCGGAGACCTCTGCAACCAATCCAGGTGTCCCCCAAACAGTGTGGTCAACAGAAGCCAGGACAGAGGCCATGGGCCTTAACGGCTCCTTAACCCAGGCTCCGACGGAGAGACTGAAGGTCTCGGAAGCTTATGGAATGCACCCACTCCATTGCAAAGCAGTGCTGGGGCCACTGAAACAGATGACCACATGCTGGGAGGCTTAAGACCACAGAGACTCACTCTCTCACATCCTGGAGGTCAGAAGTCAGATCAAGGTCTCAGGGCTGCGCCCCCGCCAGCAGCTTCAGAAGAGGGTCCTTCCTGCCTCTTCCAGGTTCTGGGCACTCCAGCTGGCCCTGGGCTTGTGGCCACGTCCCTCCAGTCTCTGCCTCCATGGTCACGTGGCTGTCTCCCGAATCTGTGTCTCTCTTCTTATGAGGACACCAAGTCGTTGGGTTAGGCCCGCCTACTCCAAAATGACCTCGCCTTCACTAACACCATCTGCAAAGATCCTATTTCCAAATAAGCTCACATTCTAAGGTGCCGGGTGGACATGAATTTTGCGGGGAACACCATTCAACCTAGCAGGACCACCCAGGCTCAAACTCTGGAAGGCTCAGTTCAGAGCCCACAGGCGCCCCCACCCCGGGCGTGTCTCAGATTCACATCTGCCTTCCCACAGCCCAGCTGGCTCCCTGGACTCGCTCCCTGACCCAACTTTAGTTGGGCCACTCTGAACCCTCCTTTCAACCAGGCCTTGACCTCTGAGCTTCTGAGTTTAGTTCTGCATTACCCAGTTTTAGCAAGAGCCCCTGCCCTGTGTCTGATCCCCTGGAGAGCTGACCGGTCCCCCCATCCCACAGCCACGTGGCGTGGGGATCACCCAGCCTGCCTGCAGCAGCAGCCCCATCAGCTCTGTTTAGCCAGAGCCCCCCTGATGTGTCCTCTTGGCAAGTGCCTGTCCGCTGACCCCCTCCTGCTCCCTTGCCACATGCCCCGGCTTGTCCACGCTGCATCAGGGATGGAGCCCAGGTCCACCGGGAGGTCTCTCCCCCCTGCCACAGGGCCTGAGCAGACTCTGTTTCCAGCACGCTAACGAGTGTCTGGCTCTGGCCCTCAGTGACGGCATCCTGAAGCAGTCCCCACTCTGTCCCCACTCACCACAGGTGAGCCACCTGCCCCCTCTGGGTGTGTCATCCATGTGTAAACTCTAAACTCTCACGCAGACTCACGAGGAATGAATGGACACTTGTGATGGGCTTGATCTGGATTCCTGGATGAAAACTTCAAAAAAATCACTCCCCCCCCCATTAACAGACCATCACCACAGGAACACCCCAGTAACCATCCCTGCAGACAAGACCCAGCGATGCACACACTTCGTTACTGGGGAGATTCCAAGGAGAGGCGGGACATTGGTCATGCCTCCAGAATATGTTGATTAGCACCCTGGTTTTAACACATCTGTAAATCCTTCCATGTTTCTCGTCCAGGAGGTGGAGCTCCGCCTCCCCAGACCCCTGCTTTCCATGTGGGTTGACTCGGTGACTTGCTTCCAGCAAACACTGCAGATCAAGGGAGACACGGCAACCTTACTACTGGAGAAACCTGTCAGACCCCACCCGAGCCAGGTGATTGAGGCTGGAGTCACCGGCGACACGGACTGGACAGCAGATATGCCCTGATGTGACATGACACCACTGGGATACCCTCCCCCCAAACCATAACCCCAGTGTAATCGTGAGAAAACATCAAACTCAACCCATGGGACCTTCTACAAACACCTGGCCAGTGCTCTTCAAAAGCGCCAAGGTCATGAAAGACAAGGAAAGTGTGAGAAACAGTCACAGACTGGGTGAGCCCAAGAAGGAAGGCAAGGTGACAAAATGTCCTGTGGGCCCCTGGATGGGTTTCCTGGGCCAGAAGGAAGATGGTAGTGGGAAATCTGGGGAAATCTGAAAAAGTCTGCCATCTACTTAATAGAACAGAACTAGCGTTAATCTCTTGGTTGGTTGACGCTTTTTTTTTTTTTTTTTTTATAGTGTGTGGTAAGAACACCCAACATGAGATTTATCCTCATGACCCATTTTAGGTGCATGACGCCCTATTGCTGACTCATCTTGCTGAACCGAGACCTGATGCCGCCCGCCCCCTCCCGTCCACGCTCCGGGTCGCATCTTGGTTGCGATCAACGCCCCACAGTGAGGTGTCGATGACATGAGGAGAAGCATTCTCAGTAAGGGGTAAGGCGGTGTTAACCCTGGGGTACTGCAAATTGGTTCTTGGGGTGGGGAGGGGAGGTCAGAAGAAGTGTTCTTTTTATGTATAAGGCACAGATGCCTGTTCAGTACAGAGGCGGATAATGCACACCTACACATAATGCGTTGTTTGGTATCGAAGGTCTGGGACAACCCCGCATCCAGCAAGTGTGCGGGGCCATTCCTCCCACGGTGTTTGCTCACTTCACGTCTCTGTGCCACGGCGATCTCACGAGCTCGTCATTACTGTGGTTATTACGGAGATCTGTGGTCGGTGATGATGCCTTGCGGAAAGCTCAGATGACGGTTTGCATTTATTAGCAATAAGGTATTTTTAAATTAAGGCACGTACACGATATTTTTAGACATCATGCTACCGCACACCTAACGGACTCCAGGTCAGTGTAAGCATAACTTTTACGCACCCTGGGAAACTCGCTTTATTGTCGGTGGTCCGGAACCAAACCTGCAGTATCTCCAACGTAAGTCTGTGTAAATGTAACTGTTGTTATGGGCTAAACGGTGTCCCCTCCAAATTCATACCTTCAAGTCCCAACCACAAGACCTCAGAAGGTGACTGTATTTCAAGACAGGGCTCTTAACGAGGCAATTAAGTCAAAATGAGGTCGTTAGGAATGGGCCCTGGTCCCATAAAACCCATGTCCTTATAAGAAGAGAGGACTGGGGGTGGGGGGCCGCCTGGGTGGCTCAGTCGTTAAGCGTCTGCCTTCGGCTCAGGTCACGGTCCCGGGGTCCTGGGATCGAGCCCCGCATCGGGCTCCCTGCTCATCGGGGATCCTGCTTGTCCCCCTCCTTCCTGCTGGTGCTCTCTCTCACTATCTCTGTGTCTCTCAAATAAATAAACAAACAAAAAATAAGAAAAGAAGAGAGGACTGGGACACAGACACACACAGAGAAGACCATGTGAGGGCGCGGAGACAAGACAGCTGTCTACCGCCAAGGAGAGAGCCTTCAGAATGAAATCAGCCCTGTCGACACCTCGATCTCAGGCCTCCAGCTCCAGGTCTGGGAGAGAACCGAGCTCTGTGGTGTGAGCCACCCAGTCCGCGGGGCTCTGTGGCAGCCCCCACACACTGATGCATCTGTGGTATTAAATCTTCGTGGGGGGGCTGGTCAGTATCAATGTGCTGGCTTCCATCACTGTTGTGAGAGATGCCAATGGGGGAAGCTGCGTGATGGGTACAGGGGGCTCTGCCCCGCTTCTGCAACATCCTGTGAGTCTATAATTAATTCACAATTAAACATTTTAAAAAATAGTAGCCTCCCGCCAGAAGAATTTCACACAGAAGGGCGACTGGGACACAAGAATCCCCACAAGGTTCCTTGGGGCGAGGGCAAACGAAGAAGCCGGGCTGCTGCATGAGGGGGGGAGCTGTGGAAAGGCACGGGGGGCTCCGTGCGCCATCTGCATGCCTCTTCCCCAAATCCCTTCAAAAGAAAAAGCCCACTCAAATAAAGATACTTCTCCCAAGGTGATACTCAGATGACGGAACGGCACACAGAAAGATGCTCAACGTCGTGAGTCATGGGGGAAATACAGATCAAACCCACAGTGAGGTAACACGTCACCCCCAGCAGGATGACTAGCGTCAGAAAGGCAAGAACAGGGGCTGGGGAGGACGGGGAGAAATGGACGCCTTGGGCATGGACAACGGGGCCGCCGCCGTGGAAGACAGTCTGGCAGTTCCTCGAATGGTTAAACACAGGTAACATGGGACCCACGCTCTCTGCCCAAGAGAAACAAAAACATACGTCCACACAAACATCTGTTCACAAATGTTCACGGCAGCGTGACTCGCAGTCACCCAAAGGTGGAAGCAACCCAAAGGTCTGTCAACAGATGAATGGGTAAACAAATGTGCTCCGTCTACACAGCAGATTGTTATTCAGCCTTAAAAAGAAGTGCAGCCCTGACACGCTCTACGTGGACCGACCCCGAGCCCACAACGCTCAGAGAGGGAACCAGACACAGAAGCCCCATGGGTGTGAGTCCACGTGTGTGACACGTCTCCAGAACAGGCTCATCCATGAACAGGAAGTAGATCTGTTTTTGCCACGGGCTAGAGAATAGGGCTGGGAGGTAACGGCTCACGGGGACAGGGTTTCTTGGGAGAATGATGAAAGGATCCAGAATTAGACAGACATGGTGACTGCCCAACTCTGTGCATGAACTGCATACCCTAAATGAACCAACTGTATGGGATGTGGATTACATCTAAATAAAGCTATTACCAAAAAAATAAAACTAACAAACCTGGAAAAAAAAACTTAAATATATATAACTATATATATAACACACACACGTATCGCAAGATGGCCAAAAGCTGGCAAAGATATACACCAAACGGTATCATGGCTAACTCCAGGAAGGACCAGTAATTGTTTAAATTATCAAGGAAGGGGCACCTGGGTGGCTCAGTCGTTCAGCGTCTGCCTTCAGCTAGGGTCATGGTCCCAGGGTCCTGGAATCAAGCCCCGCATCGGGCTCCCTGCTCAGCGGGAAGCCTGCTTCTCCCTCTCCCACTCCCCCTGCTTGTGTTCCCTCTCTCGCTGTGTCTCTCTCTGTCAAATAAATAAACTAAAAAAAAAATAAATTATCAAGGAAGACATGATCTGTGATGCCAACCTCTTTTGCAAACCATTTATGAAGTGAAACTGAGATAAACTAGAACAAAAGCTTGACAACCTAAGCAGGGAGCCAGAGAGGACGTGCTGCAGAATTCGCCGGAGAGCTGGCTCCGACTCACCGGGAGCACGTGGTCTCAGCTCTGCAGGGCAGAGGGCTGGCCGGCCAGATGCCCGGGGCATCAGGTGTCTCTCTAGGACACATGTGCTCCACCCTGAGCAGGCACCTGCTGGTGAAAACACTGCCCGGTGCTGAGTCAGGTGCTCTACAAGATACGCTCAAGTCCTGACCTTCCAGTACCCGTGAAAGTGACCTTTGCAAACAGGAAATTTGCAGATGTGACTAAATCATCCTAGAGTCAAGCAGGCCCTGATGCACGATGACGAACGGTGTCCTTAGAAGAGACACGGACACACAGGGAGAAGGCCATGTGGCAGTGGATGCAGAGACGAGTGACACAGCTTCGGGCCAAGGGATGCTGAGGGTTGAGAGGGACCCTCAGAAGCTGGAAGAGGCAGGGAGCATCCTCTCCTCGGGCCTTCGGAGGGAGCAGGGCGCCGCCGACCCTTGACTTCGGACTTCCGGCCTCCAGAATGAGAGAGTGGAGGTTTCTGTTGCGTTGGCCACACAGGCTGTGGTGCTCTGCTCCGGCCGCCCCAGGACAGTCACAAACACCAGAGGTGAACAGAGAGGGAGGGCTCTGGTCCTCGCCTTAGCCTTGTTGCCCGGGAGCTTCTTGCAGGGGACGGAGCGCTTCTACCACCCTGGCCCCACGCTGCATGCGGTTCCGTCTTTGCTCTGGGGACACTGCAGCTCACAGCAATGGGTCCAGGTCCCCCGGCCCCTTCCTAACTCTTCCAGACCAATTCTCTGCCAGCCTCTAGAAGTTTGAAGACCCTCCTAATCGTGGTGCATGTCAGTGGCCCCTTTCGCCCGCCCCCTCCTTCGCACATGGCTCAGGATTTTCCCTCTCAATGTTTGAACCACAGAAACTCATCCTTGATCCACAGGAAAAGCCAGATGAGGCCCGATGAGGACTTCCTCACAAGAACAAGGAAATGCACTCCAGGGAAGGGGAGAGACTGGAGGGCTTGGTGCTGGGACACTGGCAAAATGGTCAGCGGCTTCCTCCTCGCCTGGCGGGTCAGCTGGGCATAAACGGAGTGGACCCTCGATACCACTAGAACCACAGGGCCACAGGGTAAGGGAGGGTCTCCCCCCAGATAGCACCCACGGTCCCCTAGGGACAGCCATTCCCAAATGAGAGCTCGCTGGTGTCGGGGATTCCATCCGCCCGAAGAGACTCCGTGTGCCACGATGATCTGCCCTCCTGAGGCCCTAGGATGCTGCACACAATTAAATACACACCCTGGGGCGCCTGGGTGGCTCAGTCGGTTAAGCAGCTGCCTTCGGCTCAGGTCATGATCCTGGAGTCCCGGGATCGAGTCCCGCATCGGGCTCCCTGCTCGGCAGGGAGTCTGCTTCGTCCTCTGACCCTATCCCCTCTCATGTGCTCTCTCTCTCTCTCATTCTCGCTCTCTCAAATAAATAAATAAATCTTTAAAATAAATAAATAAATACACACCCTGAGAGGAGTGGGGAGCGCGGGACACAGATGCTGGGGGTGAGTCTCTCTGGTTCTTACCGTCTGACCCTTCGGGAATTCATTCTGCTATCCAGTGAGCAGGGATCTGACTCAAGTGTCTTTCCGGATAATTAACGTAGGGTCTCCCCCGCCCCCACCCCACCCCCCGGGCGCTGGGGACACGGGCTGGACCCTTCTCTGGGGCGGGCCGTCCGGGCGCTGCGGGGGGCTGAGCAGCACCCCTGGCCCCACCCCTCGATGAAAGGCGCTCCCCCCCGCGCCCCCCGGCATGACAACCACCAATGTCCCCAGACACTGCCCAGGGGACAGACACAGGCAGAATCGCCCCGGGGAGACCCCTGGCTAGCCCAGGCAAGTCCGGGCGTTCCAAGCCCTCTCTGCCTTCAAGAGCAAACGTGTTCATTCCATCTCCCTCCAAGTCTGGGCGGGACGAGCTGTCGTCCGCTCCCGGCAGCGCGCGCCCCCGGGGGTCTCACGCGGGGGCTCCCCGCAAGGAAGCGCGGGACTCTGCCGTTCCGGGAGCTGGGCGGCCTTTCCGACGGCCCCGTGCCGCCTCCACGGGAACGCCGAGACCCCGTCCCCGCGCGGACCCCCGCGCGGACCCCCGCCCGGACCCCGCGCACCTGGCTTCGGGCGCGGCGGGCCAGGAGTGCGCGCAGCACCGCCTGCGGCGACACCGCCCCCGGACGGGCGCAGGTGCCACCGAGAGCGCAGCGCTCGGGCGCCGCCGGCTCCCACCGGGCCCGCCGCGCCGACGCGCTCCCCGTGCCAGTCCCGGACCCCTCCTCCCTCCGGCCCGCGCCCCCGCCCCGTTAACTCACACCGCGCCGCGCCGCCGCCGCCGCCGCCGCCCCCGCACGCGCGCCCGGGACGGACGCGGCAGTGCGCCTGCGCACCACGCGGCCGCGAACTACAAGTCCCAGGAGCTGCGGGCGTGGCGCTGGGGGCGGGGTCCCTCCGTCCCTCTGGGGCAACGAGTCGAGTCACAGCGCCATCAGCGGGCGGGCGGTGTCTCCGCAGGACGGAGAAGCTTCCTGCCCAGCGGCAGGTGCGCCCAGCGCTTGACCTCTTCCTAGATGAGGGAGAAAACGGGAGCGATGTATTTGGCACGATGCCTGAGACATAAAGATTTGCCTATTTATTAACAAGTTATGTAAGGGCGCCTGGGTGGCTCAGATGGTTAAGCGTCTGCCTTCGGCTCAGGTCATGATCCCGGGGTCCTGGGATCGAGCCCCGCATCGGGCTCCCTGCTCGGCGGGGAGCCTGCTTCTCCCTCTGCCTCTCTCTCTCTCTCTCTCTCTCTGACTCTCATGAATAAATAAAAATAAAACATTAAAAATAAATAAATAAATAAATAAACAAGTTATGTAAATATGTAATCCATTTTTTACTTGGTAAAACTGTTCTAAGGATATTTATTAGTAGTACTGATAGATTGACTTGTGTTATTAATATGTTGAAATAATAAAACTACCATAATTAATATATTAATGTATCATAGATTCATAATATATAGTTATAATTAACTATGATATTCTGTATAATACAGGAAAATGTAACCATCTAATGATAAAATAATATCAGTAAGTTATCTAAATATGTGATCAATTATACATTTTAAAAATTATGATGATGGGGCGCCTGGGTGGCTCAGTTGGTTAGGCGACTGCCTTCGGCTCAGGTCATGATCCTGGAGTCCCGGGATCGAGTCCCGCATCGGGCTTCCTGCTTGGCAGGGAGTCTGCTTCTCCCTCTGACCCTCCCCCCTCTCATGTGCTTGCTCTCTCTCATTCTCTCTCTCTCAAATAAATAAATAAAAATCTTTAAAAAAAATTATGATGATGATTATTGGCCCAAACCATGATATGTATTATATGTCTTTCAGTATACTATTGTTTTTCTTTTTCAAATGTTTATTTAAATTCTGGTTAGTTGATGTATCGTGCAATATTTGTTTCTGGAGGGGCGCCTGGGTGTCTCAGTCGTTAAGCATCTGCCCTCGGCTCAGGTCATGATCCCAGGGTGCTGGGATCGAGCCCCACATTGGGCTCCCTGCTCAGCGGGAAGCCTGCTTCTCCCTCTCCCACTCCCCCTGCTTGTGTTCCCTCTCTCGCTGTGTCTCTATCAAATAAATAAATAAAATCTTTTTTAAAAATTCATTTCTGGAGTAGAATTCAGTGATTCATCACTTACATACAACACCCAGTGCTCATCACAAGTGCTGTCCTTAATACCCATCCCCCACTTAGCCCATCCCCCACCCACCTCCCTCCATCAACCCTCAGTTTGTTCTCTATGGTTAAGAGTCTCTTATGTTTTTTCCCCTTCTCTCTTTTTTTGTCCTTCCCATATGTTCATCTGTTTTGTTTCCTAAATTCCACATATGAGTGAAATCATATGGTATGTGTCTTTCTCTGACTGACTTATTTTGCTTAGCATAATACATTTTAGCTCCATCCATACCGTTGCAAATGGCAAGGTTTCATTCTTTTTGATAGCTGAGTAATATTCCATTATGTGTGTGTGTGTGTGTGTATCTCATATATATATATCTCACATATATATATCTCACATCATCTTTATCCATTCATCAGTTGATGGACATTTGGGCTCTTTCCATAGTGTGGCTATTGTTGATAGTGCTGCTATAAACATTGGCGTACCCCTTTGAATTAGTGCTTTTGTATTTTGGGGGTAAATACCTAGTAGTGCAATTGCTGAATGGTAGGGTAGTTCTATTTTTAACTTTTTGAGGAACCTCCATACTGTTTTCCAGAGTGGCTGCACCAGTTTGCATTCCCACCAACAGTACAAGAGGGCCCTTATTTATTTCTCTTTCTCACTCTTTTTCTCTCTATGCAATGGCCAAGCCCTGTGCTGCGTGTTTTTCTTTATAGAAGAAATAGGGTCCCCTGAAATGGAGAGAAGTTGACAACACTTCCTCATCAACAGGCACTGCGGCAAAATGGATTAGGATCTTTTCTCCAGAGTTGCATCTTACTTGTTTCAAGCCTGAACTGGGAATCTAGTCTTCTAGTGGCTTTGGTTTAAGTAGAATAAACATCAGGTAGAAGGTCCCAGTGGTTGGATAAATTTGTGTCACATGTGGACCAAGCCAACTCAATAATAAACATAATGTGTGTTATGATTGAATGTTTGTGTCCCCTCCGCCAAATTCACAAGTTAATACCTAATTCCCAATCTGATGATATTAGGAGGTGGGGCCTTTGAGAGGTGATTATTAGGTGGAGCCATCACGGATGGGGTTAGTGCCCTTATAAAAGAGACCCAAAAGAGCTCCCTCGCCCCTCCCACTATGTGAGGACATGGAAGGAAGAAGTCAGCTATCTGCAACCTGGAAGGGGGTTCTCACCTGCTGGTGTGGGCACCCTGATCTTGAACTTCCAGCCTCCAGAACTGTGAGAAGCAAATGGTTATGAAAGACACCCAGTCTAGGGCCATTTGTTAAAGCCACCTTTACAGACTAAGACAATGTGTTAAATAATTTTCAAACCACTTTTCCAGTCTGGTTTTTCCAGTCTTAGCTTGTGGCATGGAAGATGTGCTGCCCAGACTGCCTTTAGGACTGGAGGACCTATTCCTCCTCATAGTTCTCTGAGCTGCTGCTGACCATCCTAAGTTTTCAGTCTTGCTTACTAAAAAAATAACAGCAGTGTGTTGAGTGATTTATATTAAATATAAAAGTAAATGGAATGAAAATAGTAGAAAGGCTGGAAAAGGAGAAATGGAAGTATACTATTGCAAGGTTCTTACACATGAAGTCCTATCACAAGAAGGCAAATTGTAACAGGTTAGATGTATACTAGAAACCCTAACATAGCTAACAAACTAAATATCAAAACAGAGTGATAGCTAATAAATCAACAAGAAAATAGGATACAATCATAAAAAATACTCAGTTACTGCAAAGGAAGGCAGAAGAAGAGGGTAAGGGTAAACTGAAGTGACTAGCATATAAACAGCAAGGCGACAGACTCAAAGTTACCCATACTAAAACTCACATTAATTGTTACTGGTTTAAATACCTGAATTAAAAAGTCAGAGATTGTCAGATAAGAAAGTAAGACCCAAAAATATGCTGGCTACAAGAAATACACTTTAAATATGAAGACCAAATAGGTTAGAAAGAACAGGAAATTGAGAGACACAGCATGCTAATACTAGTCAACAGAAGGTAAAAGTAGCTGTATTTCCGTCAAAGCTGATGTCAGAGCAAAGAATATTACCATGGATTAAAAAAAGGTCATTTTGTAATCATAAAAGTGTCAAATAAGTCAAGAGGACATAACAATCCAAAATATTTATGCAACTATTAACAGAGCTTCAAAATACACAAAGCAAAAATGGGTAGAACTGCAAGGAGAAACAGATATAGTTGGAGATGATTTTAGTATTCCTTGTAGCAGTCAGGGTTTCCAGAGTTACAGAGGGTGATTAATTTTTAGGAATTGTGTTATGTGATTGTGGGGGCTGGCAGGTCCAAAATCTTCAGGGAGGGCTAGAGACCCAAGGAAGAGTGAATGTTGCAGCTCAAGACCAAAGGCCATCTAGAAGGAGGATTCCTTCTTCCTTAGAGCTCAGTCTTTCCTCCTTAAGGCTTTCAACAGATTGAATGAGGCCCCCCACATTATGGAGGATAATATGCCTCAGTCAAAGTGGACTAATTTAAATATTAATTTAAAATTACCTCCACTGCAGGACACTTGGGTGACTCAGTCGGTTGTGTCCAACTCTTGATTGCAGCTCAGGTCATGATCTCAGGGTCATGAGTTCAAGTGCCATGTTGGGCTCTGCACTCAGCAGGAAGTCTGCTTGAGAGTCTCTCCCTCTCCCGCTGCCCCTCCCCCTGCTCATTCGTTCTCTTTCTCTCTCTCAAATAATCTTTAAAATAAATAAAAATAAAATAAAAATTACCTCCACAGCAACATCTGGACTGATGTTTGACCAAACAATGGGTACCATAACCTAGCCAAGAGGACAGGTAAAATTAATCATCACACCTCTCTCTCAATAATTAGTAGAACAATTAGGCAGAACATTAGCAAAGGTGTAGATTTAAACAACCCTATTGGGCGCCTGGGTGGCTCAGATAGTTAAGCGTCTGCCTTCGGCTCAGGT